TGCTGGCCTGTTGGGGTTAAGTGAATGACCACACTCGGGTCTTGTATGCGTGTCTCTGAAACACAACATACATCCACGGCTCGAGAGGCTAGAGTTCTTGCTAGTAATGACTATTGTTCGATTTGGTAGAGGGTCCTGACGCTACATGCTCCTATATGAAGTTGGCGACTTGGCTTTAAGAGACTTTAATGACTCCTCACTCATACCGGAAATATGGAAAATACTTCTACCAATCAAGTCAAGCGATGAAAAATAATCGAATTACATAAACGAACTTAGAAAGTTGTGTGAGTACCTTGATATGATTATGAGCAATAAATTGTACTTGAAGTGTCATCAGTAAATATTACGGTATAACGCTGTGCGACTTTATTAAAATAAATTTTATCCACAATGGAATTATACTCTACCACAGTGCACAAATTCTATTCTTATATCGAGAGTCAGTGAATCTACTCCGGTCTGGTCACTCAGAGGACAACAACGAGCACACTGAAGCAGTGAGTGGCTATGGTGATATCACCAGTGTCTATTGTAACCAGTCTCCTCCTGCAGGATCATGACAGCAGTATTCAACTCAAAAGGCAGGAAGGAAGGTCACAATTATTCAGTGCTAAAAACAACACGGAACAAGAGAAGAAAGAAGATTTTTACAGACAACTACAAACAGTAATGGATAACACCCCAAATGGTGACATCAAAATCATCAAAGACGATATGAATGCAAGCCAAACTGAGAGCAGATAATACAGGAAGATAGCTCATCATGCAGTTTGAATGATTTGGTGATCGGGTGGAGCGTGTATAAACATGAGGATGTACACAAAGCAACATGGACTTCACCTGACGGACATACCATTAACCAGATAAATTTTATCTCAAAGCTGACCAAGGAAGTGGAGACGCAGCCCGCTGCATAAAAAGTCGAGTAGGGAAGCAGATGTGGGCTCAGACCATCAACTAGTTCTAGGAACCTTCAAGGTGAAGTGTTGATTAAATCACAATTCTACACATCGTCATCACAGAACAAAGCATAGAATTGTAGTCAAACATATATCTCAACTTCATCGACCTCGAAAAAGCCTTCAATAGTGCAGCGTTGACCAAGAAGTAATTTGGAAACTACTTCAACGCTACGGCGTGCAGTGCCTTAGTCTTTATCAACCTCATTCAACGGATGGCTATACGTCAATGTCACGAATGTAATGCTGTTAAATGAGCATAAAAGTCGTTTGGATTTTTTATACAACATAATGCACGACTTAATAAAGAAACCACGCTTTATCTTAAATGTAAGATGGAAATCACAACTGTATTTATGTATGAGCAGGACAAATATTTCGAAATTTGACTCTTCTTTTAGTACCATCTTTCACTATCCTGTCATCATTAATCATCTCAATGACTCGTTCTTTACCTTAGACACAATAATCGAATGAGACACCATGCATGTTCACATAATTATGAAATTAATTAATATCATTACACTTGCAGTTTGATAAATAGCCTACATTTTTCTGTTCTGAAAGTTCCAAAACTTGATATAGGATACAGCTAAGAAGACATAAAAATATATATAAATATATTAACAATCAACAGTAAGTATTTAAACAATACAGATATAGAAATTGTCAAACACCACACAACCATTCTTACCTTAGCTAAATTCTTATGTTCTGACAATCTGATTACACCCAACCTCCTAGTTTGACCTATGTAGGTGGTTGACCTAACTCACAGTCATTGCAGGGTATTTTGTAAATTATATTATTTTGTCTAATTGGGTCCACCGGGTCCTTTAACCTACAGAGCTTGTCCCTGAGTGAGTTTGTAGGTTTAAATGCCACCCGAATTCCTACTTGGTTGAGAATCCTACCTAGGGTCTCGGATGTCCCCTCTTTATATGGTATAACTGTAGATAACTTATATTCTCTCTTATTCATGTTATTATTACTAGTTTCACAATTATTTTTGTTTTTCTTCCGGCCTTTTTCGATCTTGCTAATGAATTCTGAAGGATTGTTGTTTAACACCAACGCCTCTTCCATCTGTTTTATTTCATCATTTAGGTCTTTTTTGTGCTACTTAATGCCACTGCTCGGTTTGTTAAACACTTAACTAAGCCTGTCTTAACAGTTAACGGATGAGATGAATTAAAGTCTAGATATCTACTAGAATGAGTTGGTTTTCTGTACAGACTAGGGTGCAGTTTACCTTCTTCTATTCGTTTTATTCTACAATCTAACATAGCTAATTCTCCTTGTTCATTTTCCGCTTCAAATGTAAATTTTGTTCCCTCCACTAGTGAATTTATGTGTGTCAAGAAGCTATAGAGAGATATGTTCTGTTTTTAACACTGTGAAAGTGTCATTCACATATCTCCACCATATTTTTGGAGTAGGATTAAACGTATTAAGAGCCATATTTTCCCAGCTGTCCATAAATATATCTGCTACTACAGTGGATATTGGTGATCCCATTACTACACCTTCAGTTTGTCTATATATTTTGCCTTGGAATTTAAAGATAGTAAATGTGAGGCATAACTGAATTCCTAAAATAATTTCTTCAATGGGTAGCTTCGTCCTATAAGTGAGTTCAGGATCTTCAGTTAATTCTTTTTTAACTACTTCTAAGGCCATATTGATTGGTATGTTAGTATAAAGACTAGTTATATCAAAACTAACAATTTTTTCATCATTCTCTAGTTGAATGTCATTTAGTTTATTTTTCATCTCAAATGAATAAGCTAGTCTAGAGTTTGAGCGATTTCTAATGGGGCATAATATTAGAGCTAAGTGTTTTGGTAATTCATGAGTAGGAGTATTCCTGAAGTCTACTATTGGTCGTATGGGATAACCTGGTTTATGTATTTTAATAGTAACATACATTCTACTAGCATTATTGGTTTTAGGTATTAAATTATCACTCCATGATCAACTCGCAAAAACATAACTAACCCTTACAAACCAAACTATAGAAAATTAAATTAAACCATTTTGACTCACACAGTGATGGCTTCATTCTGCGTAATAATTCCGCTGTAGATTTTCTAACCTTATTCATTATTGTATGTACAGGCTTCTTAATTTCCTCATATGGACCCATTTCAATATGTTCAGTGACTTTCTTGGCATAGTCAGAACATAAGAATTTAGCTAAGGTAAGAATGGTTGACCCTGAAAAGATAAGTAATTTAGAAAAAAGCTCAGCAATTGCAATGCTTGCATTAACACACAACCACACAATAGGGTGGGAGAGGGTTAGAATTCTAAAAAGTAATCTAGGTAGGTAGGTAGGTAGGTAGAGAGAGAGAGGTTGATTACTGAATCCTTGTTCATCGAGTCTACACCCAACACACGCAATAGGAATGATTCATCACTCATACCCGAAATATGGAAAATACTACTACCAATCAAATCAAGTGAAAAACAATGGAACTATATAAATGAAGTTAGGAAGTCGTGTGATAACCTTGATATGATTATGAGTAATAAATTGTGCTCGAAACGTCATCATTAAATATATTACTGTATAACACTGTGAGACTTTATCAAAACAAAATTTACCCATAATGTCCTAGGTAGTCTTACCATCAATCAATGTGAATTCCTCCATAATTAGAAACGGTAAATTCGTTAAACTTACTAAGTGACACAAAAATGGTTAGAAAAGTGTGAATCCATGGAGGCCAACTTCAAGAAAAGCAAGTAAAACTACGAATGTAATGCTGTTAAATGAGCATAAAAGTCGTTTGGATTTTTTATACAACATAATGCACGACTTAATAAAGAAACCACGCTTTATCTTAAATGTAAGATGGAAATCACAACTGTATTTATGTATGAGCAGGACAAATATTTCGAAATTTGACTCTTCTTTTAGTACCATCTTTCACTATCCTGTCATCATTAATCATCTCAATGACTCGTTCTTTACCTTAGACACAATAATCGAATGAGACACCATGCATGTTCACATAATTATGAAATTAATTAATATCATTACACTTGCAGTTTGATAAATAGCCTACATTTTTCTGTGCTGAAAGTTCCAAAACTTGACATTGGATACAGCTAAGAAGACATAAAAATCTCCTAAACAGATAACAAACCATGATATGAAGAAGAAACAGTTGAAGAGAACTACTGAAACTGTAATATGGGGAAAAAAACTTGGTTAGCTATGGGACTTCATGAATGTAACCTGGAAATAAGTTCTCGTAAGTCAATGTTTTATGAGAACAAACCATTTTATCACCTTTCATTGTTCAACAAGTCGTATGATTACCACATTCTACAAATAAATGCAATTAGTAAAGATTAATTTAAGATGTAGTGCTTCATTCTGAAATCCTGTTCACCCTGAACCACTGAAATAGTTGCAAGCATTTAAAAAAACTGCACCTGAGAAACACGATGACAAGACGCATTTTTCACAGACGCCTTGTAGTTAGTATTTACTGAATATTATTAGATGACTACTCACCCGTTAAAAAGACACGATGTTATTTGTATCTCTTAGTCTTAAAACTTAATTATTAGTTGATATTAATGTGGACTAACTAATGGTGATTACAAATTTTAAACAGAATAACGGATTGTGATGGAGTCACTTTACACATTCCAAATATTAAACGGCGAATTTTTAATAGGACGAATGTTACTTTACTGGTGAAAACAGTCGGAAAGCTGTTGTACTGCAATAACGAGCAGTGTGTAATTTAATTGGTAAATTATGCATATAATACGTGTATACTAGATTTATCGGAGAGATCCAGAATGTAAGATAATCAAATTAACTGTCTTTTGAGCAGCCTTTCTCATAATCTACCAATCAAACAAAGTCTTTACAAAGTGAGACATACACCTACTCATTCACATAGAAGGATAAAAACGTCTCAATTCTTTGGTGTTAAACTGTTAACAGAAATAAGTATAAGCAAACAGTAATTAGTCTTTTCAATAATAAGTAACCGTGTTTCGGTAAAAAAAAACACCATGAATAAAATGTGCTTCACGTCATCAAAGTTTTCGTCATTATCAACTACTTTACATACAAGATTGGTGAGATTATGTGCAATATGGTACGTCTTGATTTTGTTCTACTTCGCTGATGTCGGGAGTCACGTAAGTAATTCTTTTGAATTTAAAATCGAAATGTCATTGTATTGGTATTTGTTTTCATGTACTTTTACATGGTAGAATCATTTTCTACCGGAGCTTACTAGCTGACCTGATAAATCACAAACGCTTATCACGAAGAAGTGTTCGGAAATGAGAAATTAACAAAATTTAGTCAGTATTTCAGTAATTGAAAATACCACCTTCACATGATATTTTAAGTCCCTGTTTAGGGAACTCAGATCAGTTCAACGTGTATTATTTAGACAACGTATCACTGCATAGTCCACTAACACACAGCAAAGTCTACGTGAAATGAGGTATCATAAAATGTAGGAAGCCAGATTTTGTCAAAATCACCCTGGAAATGTTTTTATTCATGATAGTCAGTTTTTTAGAATTTTTTAAAATGATAAATATTTCATTTCACGACATAGATTTTATTACGAACAGAACAAATGAATAGTGGAGCTCACTGCAAAGGTGCTTCGTTTTACTTTAGAACTTTGAAATACATTGGAGATTGAACAAGTGGTCGGACCATGACCTCTGGGATTATGGGAGATAAATTTACTGTTCAGCTACTGGCTTGGAATCGATTTGCCTAGAAACTGTTAGCTTTGTCGACTTAACAGAATATTTTGATTTATTTTTCACACCATCTAAAATACATTTTAGATATAAAATATAGATCTTCATTATAGTGATATTGGACATAACAACAGTGAAAGTTTGTCGGATCATTCAATTACCATAACCAATAGATGAGGAATGAAACGATTACCTAAATGCTAACAACTGGTACCTCACATTTCTTTCGCCAAGGGATAAAACGATTTATCTGTATAGAAGGTATATCTAAACCCCAAGTAATAACAAGAACAATAAGCGAACAATTTTGTTTTCAATTAGATCTTCACCAGGCTTCACTCTAATTTTCATAGCTTTATTTGTAAAGATTTTTAACCAATGATGGTGATTTTGTGGATCAAATAATAATCATACTAGTAATAATAATAATAATATTAATAATAGTAACAATAATAATTTGGTAAATGTTTGGAACGTAGTTTATAACGATGATTATAATGATAACAAAATATTGATAATAAGGTTTATGCAGGTGGCGATGAGAATAACAAAGGTAGTAAGTAATATGTGTATATGTAGACAATGCAATAAATAAATTAGCTCAAATCTTAAGAGTTACGTAATACTAAAGGTGAAGTGGACAGGTAATCATACTTTAAATAAATATCATAAAAATAGAAAGGAGATGGATAATAAGAAAGGGTGGGAGGGTTTTGAATAGAATTCACCCAGGCCAAGGGAGAGACAAAGGTAGAACAAACTTCTTTTGTATGCAAAGACTAGGATTGTTTTCTCGAATTCCCATAGCTTCGGCTATGTGTGTAGGACGGATTCGAATTCCGTTCGAAAGGCTCGATGGGATGCGATAGATAACTTTGAAGGCACTATTTTTGTCCACTTTGTGACCACCATCAATCAAATGAGCCAAAATAGAACTTCTAATAGATTTTATTTGACCTTTTCCGAACGATGAATGAAGATGCTCATTATTGCGTTTGTTAAGCCTTCTAGTTGTTTGGCCTATATAGCTTTCTCCACAGGAGGAACTAAATTTATAGATACACATAGAAGTGGCACAGCTAGGTAGCTTATCTTTCACTTGAGCAATCGAAATAGGCCGGCTGTAAAATGACAAACAGAGGGTGGCGGCAGTATAAGTCCGTTTTATCGCTCTCGATAATCCCTGATGTAAGACTTCATTAGCCACGTCCCCATTAAATTGCAATTTCATAAATAGTTGTTTCTTTTCAACTGTTGTTAGTTTATCTTTATTGTACTTGGTATCCATGTGTCTCCTTACAAATCTACTAGGATAACCCATTTGGACCAACGTATTTTGGATGTATCCTAGCTCATTTTGTAGGGAGTCATCTGTACAGATACGTCTTGCTCTATTCGTGAGGCATCTGACGAAATTGATTTTGTATCGGGTTGGTACAAAACTGAATTCAAAAACTTCTTTAGCACTATGGTTTACCATCTTGTGTAACGGTTGGAGGAGTTCGCCTAGCCACTTTGCCACTCCATGGTAGGTGGATTTAGACATATCTAGGACTGGGCGAAGAGGAAGTCCTAGTTTATGTACTTTGGGCAGACCATACAATCGTGAAGTATTACTTCCAGTAGGTTTAAGACGGTTGTAGGCTGCCTCCGAGATTACTCCACTTTTCTCAGTTCCTTAAGCGTGTTAGTTAACTGCTTTTCAGCTTTTCCGTCTATATGTGTTGGGTTGCTAAGCTTTTGGAACTTCATTTCATCCGTTAGAAGCGAATTCATTTTGTCTACACAATCACACTTATTCACCAGTACTACTCCGGCTCCCAAGTTATAAAACAACATGAGTCAAATTGATTAGATGTCTGAGTGAAAATAAAGTCTGTCTCGATCTACGCCTTTGTACAACAAGTCTTTCGATAAAGTTTTATTTATTAGCATTTCAACCCCTCAGTAGGAGATTTTTCAGCAAATCGCCCTTGAGTTTTACATTTCTCTTCTTTTCTATTTCTGATTTACTACAGACACAAAGTAATCTATTTCAACTCGACTAATTAATATGTCTACCTACCTACCAGCAAAGTGTTGTTATCAGATTTTAGCATCTAGTACAAAAGAATTTCAGGCTTTCGTTGAACAATTCAGTAACTCTTGTTTGTGGTGATCATTCCACTTGGACTTTGCACTCGCTTACTCAATAATGATTTATTGTCAACTACTGCAATTGTGAAGATGTTAATGGTATTCAGCTACTTATCGAAATAACGAAATTCCAGAGAGTTTAACATGGTCTGAATAATTGGTGAACTTAAATCATGTGTATCTCCGAAAAGTTAATTTGGGGAAGCAATCTCACTAAATTCAAACCATTTCTCCACATAAATATATCAAGTGTAATTGTAGTCGTTTTATCAGGTTTGGACTTCCTATGTTATTGAAGTATTAGTGAGAGCCACCCGTATGGAAATGTAATCCTTTACTTTTTACGAAAGAAATGTTGAATCGTCTACACTCTAATACAGATAATCTGAAACTTGAATGTATTTGTAGTAATCCTGATGCAACAGAGTGACGCACGACAAGCTTATATTATCAAACCACTATAATAATATGATCAATCAGCCCTTGGATTCCGTGTAGAATATACGGCCTCAGCAGCACACCTTCATCTCACTGTGTTCCTTGTTCCCCCTTTAGACTGGCTCCACGATTTTCCACACGCTTTCAGTTCCTCATCAGACCATCTTCACTGTGTTGCATTCGGAAGCCAAATTCGTCGTTTCATAGAGGGCTTAGCGTGTGATGTTACTCAGTGGTCTCCCTAGGGTATGACAAATCTTCGTCCACTTATTGGGCATTAGTTACTTGGTCGGATCGTTGTCAGAGTTAATTCTCGCGTATCCTTTTCGGTATAGAGTCGGAAAAAGCAGCTGTCAATAAGAGTCTTAAGCTTGTTGGAAATGCTTTACGTGACGCGTGCACCAAGTTTCTGAACTATAGAGAAGCAGTGACCTGTCATTAGCGTTAAAACTCGGATCTTGTTCCTTGTGCCGTGGATCCACACACTGATTTGAGAGCAGTGAAGATCTATCTTGCTTTCCTAATCTGATCTTGCCTGGCTTCGATAGCCTCATTTGTGCCTTGTTTAGTTGAAACCATATCATCTATTCAGGTAGGCGAAAGAGGTGACTTCCTCTAAATTTCGCTCGTGGAACTGATCGGTCCTCAATGTTGTTGGTTGTGCATCTTCATCATCATATCTGTCTTCTCTGTGTTCATCTGAAGTCCTGTGTTTGCTGCCCCTTCCATCAACTTGTTAGTTTCTGATTGTAAATCTTCGAGTTCGTTAATAATGTGACACAAATCATGTACAAATCTTCTACATTCCTTTTGTCGCTTCAGCGTATTCCTGTCTTTTCACCCACGACGTTCAATCACATGACCCAAACCACCATGATGAAGAAGCTCATTGGCTATAGTAGGCAGCCTTGTCTTACCCGTGTCTTCTTTTCAAATTGATTAAAATTCCGTAAGGTTAAGTTTATGGCCGCATTTAGGTGATTTAAAACTCGGGACAATAAGACAGTGAGTCCAATTAGCCTTGAAGCATGATAAACGAAATATCTGAAAAGTTAAACAGAATGTTTTGCACATCACACACATAAAACGGTGATATGCGGAAAGAAGATAAACAAATCTGAACAGCTTGGAAATAACTCGTATGCTTAACGCTCAAATGAGTTGTTCATAAATATTTTAAGTTGGGCCGATTAATCATTCCGAAAAATAAAGAATGCTGCTATATTAGAATCAAGCCAACAAATGTCGTTTGACACAATAATTTGACAAAGTTTCGATAATACCCTGAGTTTGTTTCTGTTCAAATATACGAAAATGAAGTGTTGACTGGAATATACTTGGAAAACTTTGAAAATCTCTTGCACATTTTATCGTCAGTAGTCACTGTCTGTTTCAATTAAAACAGGATGAAATTGAAAGCGAATGCATTCTACACTTACCAAGCAAGTCAAACAAAGTTTGTTGAGATTTAGAAATGAACACTGTCAGTCTGTTGTGAATTTTGACTTTGTTTTTCGGTAACCAGCTTGAGAATTCGCTGTTATTGAGTACAAATATCAGAAAGTGTCAAAGTATGTATCTTCTGCTTGAAACTCAAAACACTTTTGCTCTACATATAACAGTAACCACCTCAGAGTTAGTAAGCAAGGGATGAATTAATGTTCAACACAATAAATATGTTATAAAATCTGATATTTCAGTCGTAACTACCATCTCATTTTACTGTTTTTTCCTCATTGTTTTCAGCCTCTGTCTGAAAGAGAACACCTCAACTTCAAATGGAATGATTTCACGTTTGTTGACAAAGATTTAGCCAAGTCAATAATTTGCTCCCCTCAAGCCAATCAAGATATCTGTTCACATTTAGAGAAGTTATTGGATCTCTCCAAATTTCTGAGCATGGAAGCACTATCTGAGTTTTTCTGTTATGCGAATCCTTGTGTACAAATACCGTCGTCGTCAAGTACTGCATTAAATTCGCCACGTAAAGAGAAACGAAGTTTATGCAATATCGATGGATGTTACAGCGATGACTATTAGAAAAAAGAAGGTTCCACGACGTAAAACAGATTCACCTCTAAATATATATTGGCATGTTTTTAAACCGAATACTTGAATTTTCAATAAACATGGTTGTAATAAATATTTTAACAACCTATCACTTATCACTTTTCCTAATGATACTCTGCAAAGTCTTCTGTTCGTGTCCTTATCAGATTCGTCATCGGTGCCTGTTTATTACAGAGTGGGAGAGTTTAGATTTAAATTTTAGTCAGTTGGTTGAAGGCCAGATCACTCCACCATCAAAGTAACGGCATTTAATTCCAGTTTTCCCGAATGTGTGTTTGCGTATTCCCGATTATATTCCATGTAGAAAAAACTGCGTCGGTGGGACAGTGGCTAGGACTCTCGCCGACCATGCACATGGTCCGAGGTTCGATCCCCTGCCGACGCACACCTGATATCTATGGTTGGCCTGCGAAATTTGGGCTACCGATATTCATGCTGAAAATTCCATACTTGTGCGAAAAATACAGTGTGGCATCAAGCTGTAATCAAAAAACAAAAAAATAAAATAAAATGAGTTTCTGAATACGGGAGTTGGTTGCATTAGCAGCAATAAATCCCATAGGACATAAAACTGTATCTCCACAGCACAAAAAAATAAGCAAGTTAAGCCCATAGCTTTTTGAAACGTTTTCTACTACAGAAATACGTATAAACATTTGCGAAAGTAGGAGATACTATGTCTATCGACTACAAATGTCCTGATGTCTTTTGACTAGTTCTTCTGAATACAAAGTATAATACTTTCAGTTTATTTGCCCGACTATCATGAAAACAAATGTGCTGACACCATTTGCCTGAGCTCAGCATATGGGGAATTTAAATAATATTCTTACAGATTATATGCCAATTTTAGATCGTAATAAAGAGATTTTGTGTTTCAAGTTTGAGCACGGATTGATATCAGTTCGGGAACCACTGAAAACCAACAGGAAGTACTTGATAAGTGTTGTATCGTAGCATGTACGCACTCACTGGCGTCTGAATCCAGGAGCTTCCGACTACAAGGCAGGCTAGTAAACCATTCGGCTGATGGACCTGACTCAATGGCCCATGAGTCCTACCAATTCATATCCTCATGTGGCTGGGCAATATTCCTATTCGTTTATATCAAATCTAACTTTATGAAGTATCGGAGTGATGACTTTGTTGTGGTTGTGATGTTTTGAAATCTTCTATCATGTTGTGTTCAGTGAATCCAGAAAATGTTGTCTTACTCCTAATCTTACTGTAACGGATGAACATTCAGCAATTTTAATTTGATACCAGTCACAGACATGATAAAGAGCAGCTAACTGCTATTTGCATAGTCAGTAGAAACTATGGTCTTTATGAAGAAAGTATATATTCAAATTGCATTTCAAATAAATGGAAAGCACCACAGAATTCAACAACTTCATCGATTCCAGCTTACAGGATATTTGTCTAAACAGATTCTGATTGTACCTTCTCCCGTACAGTCGTTATGGCAGCCAGACAAACGTATCTTTTTAATTAAATGTAAGTATTATACTGTACTAAATTTTCCTATACAGACGAAAGTAGCTACTAATAAACGTGAAAGTTTCGATCAATAAATGCACAAGCTCAACTTTCAGAAATATTCTTCGATAAACAGATGGAAGTGAATAATACAAGCGTAAACTGCTAATAATTATCCCAGTAAATTGACCATTGAAAGAGGTAGAAGAGTAAATGTATTTGCATAAAAGTTTGGGATTACGAAAAACTAATTTTGTGTAATTAAAATCGAAGTTTGTGGCTATTTTTTGATACAGTAAATGACAGTGCAGTATGTCTACTGTAGCAAATACTACTTCAGCTTAAATTATATCAGTGACAATTAACCGTTGCGATACTTGGTTTAATTATCATGGAATTAATTTTTACGAGTTTGAAGACGGATTCATACCATTTAGAGTACCAATGAAATCCAGGGAGTACTGGACAGCTGTTTCAAAAGTTCTCTAACTGATATCAATCTGTGGTCAAACTCGTAAAACTTATTGAATGTCTATTATACTTGTTGGATTATCACTTTAGCATGGATAATAATTTATAATCAGTGAAGAAATATTTGGTAAAACGTGTTTCTTCACATGGCTTAATTATTATAGTTCTCAGCTTGCTACACACTATTGTAATTAAACCTCTAATGTATGCGTTCCAATTAGTCAAGTGTCTCCTGTATTGCTCATCTGATTATGGTAATTCAGTTCTTATCTACGCGGATTGTTGTTATCTGATATCCACGAACTCAGAGTTATATTACAGCATACATTTGGTTTAACTATTCGCCTATTGAAGTTGTAGAAAATGCTTCTACTCGGAAAGACTGTCTATTAGTTAGTTTGCCAGTTTGTTTGCTACTTCAAAACCGTTTGAAGTCGAATTCCCCATAATAATTCTCAAAGCCGTAGATTTCGAATGAAGATAAATGCATGAGGATAATCATCGGATTACAAACAGTTCTGTGGACTGCTTGTTACTGTATAGGTAGTAAATTATGTGAAATTCCATTTACTATGGTGTATAAATAAGGGTTGGAGATACCCATAGGATTCCAATTCCCCACATGAAAATAAACGGTATTTTTCAGTGTATATACTTCCTACAAATAAACTCTGAACAATTATTGGAAGAGTTCACAAACAACAAACCATCAAACGTTTTAAGACAGAATTATGGTGAACGAATGTATACATTAGTTGGTTAAAAAACGTTTTGGCTCATATATGTGGACACACATGGTTTACATTTAAAATCTTACCTCAAATGCTTACTAAGAAAGATAACTGAGGGAAATGTTTGTCCGACAAATGATAAATATAGCAGTGTTGGGAATTGTATTCTTGGTACTTTTAGACGACATAATGTTCATACTTGGATAATAGGTATCCATTGCTGATTGTCTTTTTTGAAATCATGATTTGGTAACACTTACACTTGTGTACCTTTTAAACTTGGTAACATGTAACAAATCATGTTGGAAATTGGTTACACTTACCTGTTAAAACTTTACTTGAAGGCCTTAATAAAATACTGTCATCACACTATGCAACAGTAGCAAAGTGTCAAGCATGAAGGTGTAAGGGATAACCTGTGACTTAAAACCACAGAGACAAATTGTTTTAAACATCAACCACTATCTGTGACAGGGTACAATTCGGCCAAATAAAAAGTTGGTATTATGGATGATGGTCTGATGTTTGATTTGATAATCTGCAAGATATTTTGTATTAGGAAAAGGCGTGTTTTTAATCCATAGGCTAAATATTCTCATTTAAAAAAGTGATTTATCAGTTGCCAGTTTTAATTCATGTTTCAGGTTGATCAATGTCTTACTTAAAATTCACTGGTCACAGTCTCAACCCCTGTCTAATTTACTTCTCTTGTTACTTATGAAGTTTATTGCTAATTCGAAAATCTACATTCTTGTTTGTCTAGTGATTCGCCGGCCATGTTAATTTGCAATATTTATTCTCATTGACAGTATTATCTGCACAGAGCCTTCGCTTTACAATTAAAATGGAACAGAAAAGCGGTAGTGTTTCCTTGGCTGGCTTTTTAAATTTAAGGAGCTAAAAGCACACCGCATGCCACTTTTCGATATTTGTATCAGAATTCTCTAGTCCAAAAGCTATTAGAAGTTTAGGTAATCAAAAATAAATGAGGTAGGCGGAATCTCTTAGTGGTACACTATGAGTATTTTTATGTCCCAAAGTAGACAGTTTTGTGCATCGCTTCTATGACATTCTGAATTTTTCATGAGATACAGATGAAGACATTCATATCCAGGACGTTACTTCCCAGCTGAAATTCTAAATTGCTGTCCAGCCCAAAATTGGACGTGTTTGTGTGACTTGAACCTAACTACCAATCACGACCTCGGTAGTTTCAAAATTTATATAAGTTTGATTTCGAGTCATCCTCTCAGCGACTTGAGCAAAATACTTTTATTAATGATCCAACGTTTTTAATATTTCTACTTTTTTCGGAACATTATGGTTCATTAATTCTCTTGAAAATATCAGACTTCAACAAATGATTGCAACTTGACCTTTAAAAAATTTTTTCACACATTATGAGGTGTAAAATACAGAATTATCGGATCACTATAGAAATTTTGTTAGGAGGTAATGTAGTTTTACAAAATCTCATGTAGCTGTAACGTTTTCATATGTAGTGCATATACCATTCATTGCAAGCCTAAAGCATTATGACAATTTACATTTTTCACTTCCTGTTTCAACAAAGAAACTTGAAAGAATTCCCATTTAGACTTGGCATGATTCCAGAGTTTCACTTCTGCATATTGACGAAAACTGTGGATTCGGAATTCACAAATCCATGATGTGAATAAATGTGAATACGGAAACGGGTTATATTATACTAATAAGGTCTGAGAAAGACACGACGTTTTCGAAAGGTTTTACTTAACGATAATAGTTATCAGTTAGGACCTGAAAGTATCTAATTATGATTCAGTAGTGCAAGAGTCTTTGTAATATTCCTCTGGTTTTACGAATGAATTCATATCCTTTGACACGTGAGTATTTGCACATTTCAATAGCAGTTTGCTATACATGACCTGACATTGCATAAGACAATTCAACATTTCACTCATTGTGAAAAATATTCTTTTAAATAATGATGAAACTGTTGAAAACTGTTTAGCAGGGAATCAATCATTAATGTACACAAACACAGCAAGCTACACATTGCAAAACTACATCATGACACCATGTAAAATAGTGTCTCTTTTGCTTCTTACTTTCCCTGAATCTAAGAAATTTATTAAAAATCTTCTCATGACATAATCAAGCGTATCGCCTTGATCATTTTTACCTTATCAACTACTGTTGTAAATGAGAAACGAGAAAAAGAACTCGGCTTTCCAGCTCAATCCTAGTAGTTTTCCAGTAGGAAACCTGATGAACAGATTTCCAGACAAGTGTCTTGACAACAGTATGAATTCATTGCCTCAGAGAGTTAGTTGATCAGCAGTTCCAAGGGAGCTGGTTTTCTTAAAATTGTAGTTTCCTAGGTATAATATAGCAAGATTTTAAAAAAACGTTTAAGACATACAATAACGGGATTTGTGCTATTTCTTTGTAGGTGAACCAATATAGACTTCAGGGAATAAGAACATACTATTTAAAGTCGCTCGCTCGCCTATAATCGCCTCTCTGATTTTCTTGTCTTGTTATCACCACTCTGACGTGTTTCTATTGACAAATGATTACCACTGGTTTTGTTACTAACAGACTGGTCAGTTATGAATTGCATAAAAAATAGTATACGTATTAATATAGAACTATTGAGGATCTAATTGAAAAGTAAATATTTCTTCGCTGAATTTGCCACTTTCAAATTTTCGAATTGGGATATTTACTACGTTCAGTAATTATAAACACGTCTTTCCTTATTTCAGTGTAACTTGGAGACCTGGGAGATGATATAGATGAAAAATCAATGAATTTACTGGCGTTTTTGCGAAAACAACTATTCTGCATTATACTCCCTAATTCTGACTGACTTTTATCTGATAGTAACTCATAACTTTGAAGAAACTCCAAATCCCTATTTTCACGTACACTTGATACCACTGGCGTTTCCAAATTTTCCGAGTGTCCGAATCTCACTGCTTCTTAAACCTTTATTTATTTATTTCATTTTGATTACAGCTTGATGCCACACCGTATTTTCGGTACAAGTATGGAATTTCCAGCATGTGTTTTCTGTAGCCCGAATTTTGCAGACCGACCATAGATATCGGGTATGCGTCGGCAGGGGATCGAACCTCGGACCATGTGCATGGTCGGCGAGAGTCCTAACCACTGTCCCACCAACGCACCTACCAGTCAATTCAGTGTCTGTCCAGGTCAACTAGTATATATATATATATATTCTGACCGTTTTGTTTTTGATAATGAGAGCTCTACGGCAAAAGTCCGTTTTCTCTTCTTGTTTTAATGCGCCGACCATCTTGTTTTTGTGGTGCTTGATGTTGTGATTAGTACTTCTGAGAGTTAGCCTAGCCCAATAGGTTCGTGTCGCTCACGGTCTACTCGGTGGTACTGCCGGCTGTATCATGTTCTTTGTATAATAACAACTAATTTGTCACCTAGTTTGTTAAAAACCGCATTTTGAAACACTCAACTTCATGAAAAATGTCTCATTCAAGAACATGGTTAACCAGTGTATTGACAGATAGTTCCATTTATAGGTAACACAAAACTTCAGATCGTTTTTCTAAAAAATGAAGCTGAAAGACCTGACTGACCAATTTAATCTTTGTAGATAATTCAGCAGGTTTGTGAAAACAACAACAACAAAAGTGATAGTTCACAAATGTTGACTCAGCCTAAGGAAAACAAAAAAGCTATAACTGTACCTGTGACGTTATGCAATTATAAAAAACATGTTGTAATACACAGTAGTCTTGACTTTAATTTCGTCTGCTTTCAGACTGTAGAGTTATGAGTGGAACTGTTTTAAAATTACGTATCCAGTGTTTCAAACTTTTGAGTAGCTTTACAAATGTCATGACGGTAAATGCAAACTGTACACATCTAGTTAATGCTTTCGTATATCTCAGGTCCATCGCAATTTTCAGTTTGCTTGTCGAAACCTTTTTATGTTTCACTCAGCTCACGTAAAAGTCGGTCTTGTTATGTTATCAATTATAATGCCAAAGACTAATTACGATATTCAAAAGAAGACATTAGACAACCGAAGGAAACATGAAATTTGAGCAATTTCGAAACGAAGTTAGAAATAGTAATTTCTGAGTCATCTTAACAAAAACGACCATTTGTTCCCTCCTTTAAAATGTTAGAGTAGTGCAAATAGCTAAATAATGGACGAAAATGTATCAATCAAACATAAAAATCTCAGGCTAGATATTCTGACTAGGATTTAGCGGACATTGTGGTGAGTGCCATTTTCTCTTCTACTAACACTTTTACAAGCGAAAATTCTCTCCATTATTAATTAGGAACGCCAGAATTAAGGCTATGCGGTTACTGTAACTGGTCAGCAGAAAGCATCCACAGCATTTCCGAAACATCATATTTTCTTCATCATTTGAAACTATTATACTCATTTTCGAAGTAAAAGGCTTTGCCACCTAGCGAAACGTGTTAATGCTTCCTCTTTCATTTTAGCATGAACCAATTTAACAAAAATATATACTGCTTGATACTATCAAATTGTTTATGAGAGTATTGAATCAGACATACATAGCTGTTGAAACTAAGCATTCAAATAAACGTGAGTCTGTGGACTGAATAAGAATACGTTTCTACTACAAATGATTTGTTTATCTTAATTTGTGTTACACTAACCAGTGTTCTGTAACGTCGCTGTTACCAACACTAGACTATAGATCACAACTTTTCCTAAAATACTAATTAACGTAGGTCGGGATTTATGGTAAGTTGTTGTCTCATATTTGCAGATTAATGTTTTAGTAAACATCACTGAGTGAAATAGCCTTACAGTATGGAACTTAATGACCTGAAAGTGAAGCAGAAAAACAAAGTTTAGCATACAATAGTTTATGGACTTCGACACTTCCTTCAACTTGCATGCTGCTCAAAAACCAACAAGAGAAGGGCTCAGGTGATATCCAGTTCAGTATCTTTTTAAAAGAGGTGGAAGTAAAACATAAATCGAATCTCAGAACAACCTTTATTTATAAGCAAATATAGTCAGTTTGGCATTCAAAGTTCTCAAGAAGTTATAACTTGTGACAGCTGAATTGAAAAACGCTATTCACCTTGTCATTGAGTAAGTCTTTATTTCTTCTATTGAACAGTCTTCTGAACAACAAAGCATTTTTATTATTTGTTGAAATTGCTTCATCTACGAGGTGTCTGTATCTACTGACTAGAGACGATTTGTTCCCATCACCACAGATATTTAACAAGATATTCTCTTTGTTTAAATGTAGAAGCTTATTCCATGATTCTTTCTGATTGATTTCACAGCTCAAGTGACATGATACACAGCCAACTGAATTTGTCTCATTGAAACCACCTATTCTATGGTTGATAAATGTACTATGTAAACACCTTTCAGAAAGTTAAAATATATTAAAAGTGATCGTTAAAAGAAAATATCCAGAGGGATTTGCAATAAGTGGGATTAAAAATAACTAACTGATGTCAGCTCATGATGAAATCCTCCATCCAATCAAACAAAATCCTTACAAAACCAATACTTGGGCATTAAAAGTAATCAGAAATATAATTAAGAGAACAGTAAGATTTTCGTCAATTTCCTCAGACATATTTTAGTGCATAAATTTATTATTATGTTTATACAGTAGTTTATTTCATAAGAATTTTATGAAGAACATGGAAATTATCTCTTTTCTACATCCTGTAAATAATTTCAACGCTTATAATGAAATCTTCGAAGAGAAGTTAAATGTTCGCAATTGCGCGAAATCTTAACAGTGAGAGGCAATTAATAACCTATGACACAAAGTACAATATGAGTCTTAGGAGTGTAAATTTCATTTTATGAAGAATTTATTCAGTTTATAAAGGCAGCAACCCTTACTCCTACAATTCGTTAACTCCCGTATTCTGCCTATTATTCTCTATTGTTCCCTCTTATTGTTTCCTGGGCTACTGAAGAAAGACTATACCTTATTACGCAGGATGTTAAAGGTTGTCAGTAGGTGTGGTGATTGACAATTTCTATCTCTGTATTGTTTAAATACTTACTGTTGACTGTTGATATGTTTCTTATATGAATTGCATTCTAATTCCGCTAAATACAAATTACTGATTGCTGCCCTCTCTGGGTTTTGATTAGATTCCTATAATTCCGTCATCCCGGTATATTAATATTTCCAAGTACAATAAATTACTACAAATTGGCGTCGCGATGGAGCTAAGTAACCTGGGAAAATTTCCTCTTAATGGTTCTCCGCGGGAGATTGCTGATTATTTGGAATGCTTTGATGCGTGGTGCATTTCCAAGAATGTTCGGGATGATAAAATACCTGCTCATTTCATCACCGCTATTGGTCTTGATGCATATAGCCTGGTGAAGAATCTGGCGTTTCCAGATAAACCCATTTCTATGCCATATGCTAAGCTCCGTGAACTTCTTATAGATCACTTCCATGTAACTACTTTTGAGACCAGAGAGAGGGCTCAGTTCAACAAACTGGTACGTTCTCCCAATCAGAAGATAAGAGACTTTATACTACAACTCCAAATTCAAGCCTCAAAGTGTAATTTTGGAGATCAGCTGCATACACAACTACGTGATCGTCTAATTGCTGGAATCAACATTCCTAAATTAGAGAAAGAGTTAATTCAGATTCCTTCTTGTACGTTTCAAACTGCTAAAGATGTATGTATTACATATGAAGATGTCAATAATGAATACTCTGCTCCCACTACGTCAGTGTCTGATGTTATGCTTTCTAAAGTCGAAAATACAAGTGGTCATGGAAAGCAATCCAAACTGCCGTCCACAGGTAATAGAATGCAGCGAGAGATCAAAAACATTAAACCGTGTTTATCCTGTGGAAAGTTACATCTACGAAGCACTTGCCGTTTTCGGAGTGCTAAGTGCTATAAATGTGGTAAAGTTGGACACATCAAGACGGTTTGCAGGAGTTCGAGTACTTATGTTGCTCAACATTCTTATAATTCTCCCAAGCTGTCTAGTAAAATGGAGTCTATGTGTCTTTCAACTTTTCAAAATACTCAAGCTAATCCAACGAAAACCTCCACTGCAAGTTCAGCAACGCAAGTATCAACTGTATTCAAAAATGAGGTAGCTAAGTTGCAATGTGAACTGTCGAAAGCACGAAAAGACCTGAATGAGATGAGAGAGCAACTGAATAAAATTGAGGAATTACTGCATATGCATAGACTACGTCTGGTGAATCCAGAGCATACAAGTTCTTGTGAAAGTCCTGCAAAACTATTCAAATCTCGAATTCTCAAAAAGCATCTGATGTCCACTACTTCTAATGTACATTATTACAAAGATAATAACTACAGACCTTCTGTTGGAATTATACTACAAAAAATGGGAAATCGAGTGGTGAAGATATTAGACATCAAAGATCACTCAGTTCATAACGGACACCTGGACAAAGTGACAATAAATGAAGTAGGTCGTTCCAATTATAATATTATTGATTCCGCTAATAATCCTGATTTTGTAGATAATTCAGAAATAAGTCCAGATAGTACTGATGAAAATAATATCACAGAATCAGTTAGCTCGAAGCTACTTGCAAGCAAACCGAGACATCGTTATAAATACGCGAGGAGATATTCGAGGTGTGGCGGATGTGGTGATTGACAATTTCTATCTCTGTATTGTTTAAATACTTACTGTTGACTGTTGATATGTTTCTTATATGAATTGCATTCTAATTCCGCTAAATACAAATTACTGATTGCTGCCCTCTCTGGGTTTTGATTAGATTCCTATAATTCCGTCATCCCGGTATATTAATATTTCCAAGTACAATAAATTACTACAGTAGGGTAAGCAACGTGCCACTTAACCAGCTTGTTAATATTCAAGTTGACAGGCACATGGACTCATGTGAAAAATGGGCAAAGTCCTTTTTATCTAACTCACAACACCCTCTTCATTCAAAACTCTCCCCTTGTATCTCTTCAGGGAAAACCAGAAGCCTATATACAAAACTATATGCTCGCACTAGTAAGTACAAAAACCCAACCATACCCTACTTAGCTCGTGTTCTGTGTGATAAAGAAAGCATTAGGCGTGAAACCTTTAACTTATTAAATAGTTAGTAGAACAACTGAATCTCGTTTTTCCAACTCATATCATTTATAGGTACAACTTTTTTCTTTCTTTCTTTTCCTTTTCTCCCTCTCTTTTTTCTGTTATGTGCAGCTTTGTTTCTTTCTTCTGCTTACGCCAGTAAATATGCTAGAACCTACTTTTCTAGCACCTTCAAACACTCTGTTTAGTTTTGGCTTTGCTACCGACATGCTTATATGTTGTTGTCAAAACTAACTGAGATTACCCTTAATCTATGTAGAATTTTATTTTATTGTTAATGTACCAACTGGATGCAATACTGTAGTAAAATGAGAATTCCATTCTGTATCGCAAATACTGTTTTGGAATAAAGCTATTATCATTATCAAAAGGTGTACTTGTCAACATTGGCTAAACAGCTGTGACGGAATATGAAATGTATTGCTCAGTACATTACATTACAATTATTCCGCTAATCACATAATAAGCAATAAGTTTCACGCCTAAAACTATCTTTATTACATAGAATGCAGGACAAATAGAGTATCGTTGGGTTTTCGTACTTGGTTGTGTGTACTTCTTTCCTTACCTGATGAGAAACAAGGGGAATGTTGTGATTATAGAGGGCGATGAGAGTCAGACAATATGGACTTAGACGGTTTCTCACATGAGTTCAGGTGTCTGTTGACTACACTTGTATCCAGCTGATTTAGTGATACACTACTTGCGTTACAGACCATCTTTAACACCCTTCCCAACATGAAATAGTTCTAATTGAGCAGTCCAGGAAAGACCAGGGTGGGGCAATAAATAACAATCGGTAAGATGCAAGAGCTAAAAAAACTGTAGAAGTGGAGGTTGAGTGATTCCTGATTGTATCAACCTCCTAATATAAAAGGTTAGACGGAACATTTTCTTATAATTCGACAGCATATGCGATAATCACGAAAGGCCAGATGATAGAACTATTCCAAGGTATTCTTTGCTTGATTTAGTTTCCATTTCAGCTCTTTGTATACTACAAGCAACTTGTGAACGAACCAGTTCATGTAGATCACGTGTATGCCTGATGGTGGAGTTAACTGTCTGACATTTAGAGGGATTTAAGGTAAGATCACTTAACTTGGACCACTGGCTTATGTTCGATGAAAAGCTATTAAATCCGTAACAGTCATATCAGGACGTAACTGGCAGAGTGACAGTCAGACCATCAATGTTTTTAACGAAGTCGATTTCCTCAGAAAAAAGGAAGTCGAGTAAGAAGAAAGTAAAAAGAAGAGAAGAGAGAAAAGCACCCTGAGGGACTACTGCTTTTTCAAGCAAGGCTTAGAAAGACTTGCCTTTAAATACAGTGTACCTCATTCTGTTCTAGAAATAAGAATGCAACCAGTTAACAACCCAGGACTCAGTTTGTGTCAAGGAAAGCTTATTTAGCAGAAGACATCTGGGTGCAGATTTAGAAGTGGATGTCTAGTCAAGAAAGATACATCGAACAAATTCAGCTAGTCCTTAAGACGAAAACTTCTGTTTCTGAGTAACTCCAGTTTTACTAAAACTCCTACTTAGGGCCTTGAATGCTCCTTTTTATTAGACAGTACTATGCAGGCGTTCAATTCCTCTCTATCTAAATATTCTAACCATTTACACTACTACGTTTATTTTTCTTGAGTCCTAATGTATTACCCAATAAAATATGATAGGTTAGTACTCTTTTGCCTATTTTTGTGGTTGATAAAGCTGGAATCAGTTTGGCATTTAAATCAGTCATCTAACTCAGAGACAGAATTTGTCAGCTTCATGACTAGCTAGACCTAATAAGAAGGCAGAATAACATGATTTACCAAGTACCATGTAATGATTTTGAAGTCATTTAAATAGATCAAACTATTAGGTTCGAACTAGTTAGCTTATCAGAACGTGGGGATTCAGCTAGATCTAGAAAGACTGACCTTGCCAAGTGAAATAATTTAGAAAAAGACTAGGCCATTCCAACGCATTCACGTGAATGTAATCACATGATATGGTGATATAGGTTTAAAGTATTTAAAAGTAATATAGTAAGGTGGAATGAGAGGTTAGTCACTGAAGCTTTGTTCATTGAATCAACACCATGTGTATGCAATAGAAATGGCGCCACACCTATACCAGATATGTTGAAAATTGCAATACAAACTGCAGGGAGTAAAACTACACAAGGCAAATAAGGAGATCAAGTGAACACTCTGATACGATTATGAGCATTAAAATATGCATCAAAAAGTCATCCAGTTATACTAAAGATACTTAACTAAAATGGAATTATATTCTATCACAGTGCCCAAATTTTACTTATACATCAAGACCTACAATAACGTGTTATTCGAAAATGAGTAAAAATATTTGAAGCAAGAAAAAATTGGTCAAATTACCTGAACAATTCATCTAAATCTTTCGAATACGCCTGATATTCCTGGCAGTACTGTTCACATAACAACTGCACTTGATTACAATTTACACACTGACAGATTCCTTCATTGACAGTCGCGAACTTCACCTCTTGTTGATTAATCAGTCCTGTGCTTTCACAATGGTCGTTTTCACAGGCTATCAATTTACGGAATTTCCTTTCAACTGATTTTCTACAAGTGCAGAAAACAGATGTCACAGAGTGAATTACTAAACGTAACACAGAAAGATGTGGAAATACTTTTTTGTGAAAGGTTTGCTCCAGAAATCATATGGTGATCTTAACTGTGCATTTCTCTGTGCTTCCCCTGTCCGTATCATCGTCAGATAACAAGACTATCAATTTTATCTGCTAAGATTTTCCGAATCAAACCTTGGACAATAAAATGTTTTGATCCATCCTTTACACAACGATATGTAGGAGAAATATTCTTTCGTCTATCATTCACTTTGACTTCCTTGTAACAACGACTTATTTTTGAATCTAAACTTTGGTAATTATCATATTCAACCCCTCAATCACTTTTCTTTGAATAAATGAGCGTGCCCATTCTCCATCACTGTTAGAAAATTATCTGTTATCCCACAAAACCATCGAAGAACATGAAAAACTGACGTTATCACTTATACACCTAATTTAAAAGTGTATTAAATTTTTAAGAAGACTCTTAATAAGATATTAAAATCTAACGTCTGAAAATGGGCTACGACGGATAAAATGTAAAAGTTCTTCTATGAAAATCTGATTTAACTGCCAAGTAGAATAATGCTGATGGGAGATTTTGTAATGTATTTCTGTAAGATAAAATTCATGAATAAATTCTGTCGAAAACTTACATGAAGTTCACATTCAGTGTACAAGGATTATTTCGAATATCTATCTCACACATGCTTGATATACACCGCAAACTTCTTAAGAAATTTTCAGTTTCTGCAACAACAAAATAATAATCTGAAAATAATATCGTTACTTGTATATGTATGTAAATGGTGTTTTCTACAACTGAAAGAGATTCAGTAATATCCGTATTGTTTTTAAAAAGTAGAATGAAGTAAAACATGTGACAGATTTTTGAGGAACCATGAATCTGCCAAACTGTTTTCACAATACAATCAGTAAGTTGACTGATATGTCTTAGCGAGGTACTGCATTTAGTGCAACATTTTCAGACAGAGTTGGCTGAAAACATGAAAGAACAGACTGCTGCTCTTTGATTTTTTCCTGAAATCACGTTATCTTGATTAAAGGAAGTTAATAGTTGAGTTTCCCGGCATGTTTCTGAAATCGAATTTCAAAGTGACCGATTAATAGAAAAGTCTGTTGTAAAAGAGAATCTCTTTTGTATTAGCCTCTGGATAGTAGTGTTTGTTGACAGATGTTTCTGAAGAATATAAATGATAGAATGTGTAACAGAATAACTCGTTCGAAAATCACTCCTGAATAATCCCTTTAAAATACTGTTACTTATATATGATTATTTCAGTCAATTTTTTAATTATCGCACTGCCCCCGAAATCTGTGTCTCGTCATTCGACCCCTTGTTTATCTTCTCATTTTATTACTTATTTTTCTTCTTGGTTAATCCCTACTCTTAATGCAGTTGTGTGACGGTGGAAGGTGTTGCAAGGACCCAGTGACGGTGAAGGAGCTGGACCGTTTCCTGCGTTACTCCGTCAAGCTTGCAGTAGCGAAGGCAGAGATTCAGTTCTTGAGAGAATGTTTAGATCGGCACGAATATCCAAAGATGTACTGGAAGTCCCTCAGACGAAACCACATCCATCCGAATACCAGAACGCTCAGGCGACACACACTAAACAACATTGACTCCATCCAATCACGTATCCCTGAACTAGAACGAAATGTTGACTTACGAGCTCACGCAGTCCACGATTTAGACCAAGAACTACGCCAATCGTTCGAAGAATATGTCGAAGAAGTTGCACAGAAACAATGTGAGAATGCCAAGTCAAACCTTATTAAAAGCCTGAAGCCGACGAGTGACCCTGAACGTCCATTCCCAAGCAATCCAGAAAAATACGTATTTAACCTGTCAAACATTGAGCTGTCAGAACTTCAACTAGAAGCACTGTCCCTCGGTCCAAAGTTCTGCACAAAACCATCAAAAATCCAAAAACTTCAATCCCAAGTCCAGTTCGAAAACCTGATAAACCAAACATATGATCTATCACCAACTTCCGAAGAGAACCTGCAACAGTTCAGGTCGGTAGTACTCGACAGTTGCCATAAATTTATGAATACCAAACCAAATGGAAAGTCAATACTGACCAAAAAACACTATAAAGAGCTCAAGGAATTAATAAACAACAAAGAGATTATTCTGTTACGCCCGGATAAAGGTGGGGGAATCGTAGTCATGAATCGTGAAGACTACGTAAGTAAAATGCTGACCATCCTATCCGACGAATCTAAATTCATAAAACCAGCAAAGGAAAAGAACATGACGGAACAAACTGAACAAAAACTAACGAACCTTCTCCGAAAACTAAAGACTGAATCATTCATCGATCTCGAAACCTTCGAATCGTTGAAACCGTCGGGCTCAAATATACCCCGGCTATATGGACTACCAAAAGTGCACAAGAAAAACGTACCTCTTCGACCCATTCTCGATATGACTAATTCACCTTATCACAGTACCGCACAATGGCTAGTAAACATACTAGAACCAGTCAGAAAGCAAATCTCCCGCCACTCACTTCGAGACTCCTTCGATTTTGTCAATTCCATTGAAAACGTCAGCGTTTCCAATCAAACCATGTTCTCACTAGATGTGGTATCACTGTTTACAAACGTCCCACTAACCGAAACAATATGCTATATATGTGAATATATTGATTCAAAGGAGATGAACATTGGTATACCCACTGACTATTTGAAGGAACTCCTATTAAGATGTACTCTAAACGTCCAATTCACTTTCAATAATGAAATATATAGACAAAAAGATGGTATAGCTATGGGCTCACCACTCGGCCCGCTGCTTGCAGATATTTTCATGTCAAAACTAGAAAATACACACCTAAAGAAGATAATAGATAACTTCGGATTCTACAAGAGATACGTGGACGATACTTTTATTATCGCCAATAATGAGGAAAATTTGGAGAACATATTGGACTTCTTCAACAGTTGCCATCCAGCAATCCAGTTCACACTAGAGAAGGAGTCCAACGCAACAATATCTTTTCTGGACGTGCAACTAGCAAGACGCGAACAAGATGGGACACTCAAAAGATCCATTCACAGAAAACCGACATGGAATGGACAACTCATCAGCTTTCACAGTTGGGTGCCTATATATACAAAACGAAATCTGATCCGCTCACTGACTCACAGAATCCACAACATTTGCAGTCCGGAAACTATAGAAGAAGAGCTGAAGACCCTGAAAAGAATCCTTCTTGAAAACGGTTACCCGGAACGTTTCATCACAAAAGCTATGAAGCCCAAAACACAAAAACCATCCATGCTTACTGCTCCCAAGAAACTTCTCTATTTGAATCTACAATTCAACGGAGATTCTTCAGCAGAAATACTGAGAAACCGCCTGTGCCGTTCACTGAAGAAAACCTTCTTCGCAGCGGAACTCAGACTAACTTTCTCTACGAAACCAATGATTCGCACGAACGTGAAGGATAAGCTTCCACTGGGGGCCTCATCAATGTGCATCTACCAATTCACCTGCTCATGTGGAGCTAGGTATGTCGGCCGTACCCAGCGTTTGCTATCCAAACGAATCAGCGAACACTTACCTTCATGGTTTTATAAAGGAGAAAGAAGATCCCCCCGCCACAGCTCTATCCTAGAACACTTGATCGAATCCGGACACCAAGCAAACCCACAAAACAACTTCTCAGTTATCTACACAATACGTGGGAATCTTGCCAAAAGAGTACGAATTAAACTTCTTCAAACTGCAGAAGCAATGGCAATTCACATATTGAATCCTGAACTCTGCATACAAAAGAAGTTTGTTCAGTCACTAAATCTACAATGGTCCTGATCTATCTTAACACCAAATACGTAATTTTGTCTTACCTCTTTCTTCTTTGTTTGTCTATTTCTTAATTGCATTATTTTCTACCCCCACCCTCTATTAAATCTCTACGCTCATGACGACTGTTGCTAACTCGATTTTCGTTTATTTTTAAGTGAATTCTACTCAGATTATTAACTTGACTCTCATTCATTTTTTCATTGAACCCTATCAATTAGATTACGTCACCCAACCTACTTTTGTAACTTTATTTTAGTTTCTAACCGATTAACGCCTTCTAAATTACGTAATTTGTTTGTCAAAAATTAACAATTGCATTAACACATCTTTGGAAATATTCTTTTTGTTGCCAAGACAAATTACTATAAATTTGCGATTTGTACAGCTTGAGAATGATATCGCCGAAAAGAATAACTCTTTGCTGAACAACTTTTCTTTTCCATTATAGATAAGATTTTATTTTGATAAATCTTATCTATAATGGAATTATACTCTACCACAGTGCCCAAGTTTTATACTTATACCTTTTCTTTTCTATGACTGAATGGGAATTTTCAAGTTACTGATAAAAAAAATGCACAGATTGGCTTCCACCCATAGAATCCAAAATAATTGGGTTTTGGTTATTACAGAATGTTGCCATACATACGGTCTCAAGTTAATTTAATGACGAAACTCATTTTGAAAATAGTAATCATAAGTCATGTACAATCTTCTATAAAAAAGGAAATATGTGGCACTTATACGACCAAACAATCGCTTCATATGTTGTGTCGAATGCATCGGTCAAAATACAGTTGTACAATGGTTTTCTCCTTCTCTTGAGAAGGGCTTAGTCAACTTAGCAACAAATCTACATTCATAATGATAAAAAGAAGAGTTAAAGCAGTGGTTTACAACAATCACCTTGGTTAAAGTTTGCATGACCACTTTTGTAAATACGGAGTTATAGTTAAGCTTCCTGCAAAATGGGAATCACACATAGGTCAACCAATACCGAAGTCATACAATATCTTAATAGGTGATGTCCAGTAGTGTTGCCAAGTTATTGAAATGAATCATGTTATAAGAGAACTAAACTTCAGGCGCAAATGTTGAGATGTATTTGAATCATCTGAGGAAGTTCTCGATAACATCTACCTATGAGATGTTAGTATTTTAAGATCGAATGTCTTCTTTCACTTCTAAATGTATTCTATCTTGACAACTATTTTCCATAGCTCTTGACAAACCTCTGAAGACAGTAACTGTCACTTGTTCACTTCCTGATGGCAGCTACAGCAATATGTGTCTACAAACAGCAAACTCTGTCCAAGATATCATTCAGTTAAAAATATCTCATCAGTTTTTACATCACATAAACAAACTGACTTACCACCATTTACAAAATCGATAACTATGTTGATACTTTCCTCTAAATAAACTATGGGTCAGTTTCATTGGTTATTTTTAATTTCTACCTCTCATGATGGTTTTCCTAAAGTTTGGTTTATCGCCTCTTTCATGTTTCACTGTAAATCTCCTTTAATCACAGTCTCCGCTGAAGTTTCTCATCATACAGTAGGTGTTATTCGGGATTGTAGAGTAATATGCCATTTTTCGGACTACAGATGTCTAATTTACAAAACAACAAAAAACTAAGTGTAAGACCATGATGCCGAAAACTTTCTAAACCTTCGTTACTGGCATAGTGATAGCCCATATGGCTTTGTAAGTTATTTCACCAACCTATTCAGAACTGTAGGAAAATTTCACAAATTCCTAGATTAAAACTAGTTACTAATGTTGATAAGTTCTACACTTCAGATTTCACGCTTACGAATCATTTTTTATTCACAAGGGAATTAAAACTATTTTAGTAACTATTATAATAATTAATAGAACTGTATCACTAAGTACCTCAGGAAATTTATCATCCTATAATTACAATATGGGTCTTGAAAAAATTATACCTAAACTTTTGGTTAAATGATGTGTATAATAATAAATTCTATATACTCACCGTATATCAGATTATGCATAACTGACAGTTTTCTCATTAGTGGAAAAGGAAGTAAAGGTATCTCAGTGATCCTGTAATAAAAAGATAAACAGACTAGAAGATATTGTGAAGTAGTTGCATCTGTATGTGACTAGTCGTCATGATTAACACAGATGTGTTGCAGAAATTCTATGTACCTGAATTCTTCATGGTTTTATGCAACATCATCCCTCGTTTCGAACACTTTGTTTATACATCACAGTTTGACTACAACTGTTAATTAAAACACTCGTATTGACTGTTAATGACGCCTGACAGTAACGTACTCATATGTCTAGTTTACTGAGTTTATCTTGTTTTAAAAGTAAGTGGAATACTAATATATGTGTAAAACTTGGGCACTGTGGTAGTAAGTAATTCCATATTAATTTGTTTATTAGATGTATCACACAGTCAGTGAAATAGTATTATTTACTGGATGACGTTTCGAACAAAATTTGTTGTTCATAATCATATCAATTATAATCACATGACTTCTAAACTTGAGTTTCATAGTTTTCTTTGTTTTCTCCTATTTGTCTTAGGGTAGTAGAACTTTCCAGATATCAGGGACAGGTGATAAATCATTCCTATTACACGTATTTGCAGCTGATTCGATAAACAAAGCTGCCATTATCAATCTCTCCCTGTTACATTAGATTTTAAAACTTTCATCTTATCCTATCCTATTGTGTGGTTATAAAGGCAGTCAGAAACGATCTCATTTTTGACCAAGAACTCGAACTTAGGACGAAAGTGCAACATGAGGACATAATGCCGGGCATGCAGCTATGCCTGACTTCCACAGTTTATTTCACCAAAAGGATTAAGAGACTAAATGTAGTGAAGTAACTTCAACAATACCCTGTTCGAATATTTAGCAAGAATTAGTTTCTGTCTTTCTAATCTTCACCATTGTACCATGTTATTCGAAACTTCGAATTAATGTCAACAAGATCTAACGGTAGTCGTAACTAGTCAAGAAGTTATGTTCTGCTAGAAAACATGTCTGTGCGTCATATAGTGAGCCATATTTAAGTCACTTGAGTGGAAGATCCAGTAACAAAGCCTGACCAAAGGCTAGGAAGATTGGTCGACAACATCGAAACAAAAGTTAGAAAGAGGAAGAAACCTAAACGAAATGTAGACATAAATAGGAGAAGCAAACATGGAGGAGACAGGCGTAACGAAGACACCTGATTAACAACAACAAGACCTAGTCACCATCAACGGGAGAAATTTAAACGAGGTAAATTCCTCTACTTATTTGGCTAGCAACGTTTTAATTACAGATGACATAGATGAAGGTAATATGGTCAAGATCAGAAACGTAAGAGAGATCTTCATTAATCTGAAATAAACTGCACTCAGAATAAGGAACGAGATTCGGATCTTCAACACTTATATCATATCAGTCAGTGCTTCTGTATGTTTGAATGACTTGGTGTGCGTGTCAGCAAATCTTTCAGACTTTTATCAACAGCTCGATATTGAAGATCAGATGGCCATAAACGACTCTGAAAAGGAACAAACGTACTGACCAAAAGTTCTCAGACGAGAATGGAGATGGATCTAACACACACTGAGTGTCCTCGTGCAATAGACCCTCGATCACGACCCGAATAGGAAACGAAGATTTGGCCGCTGATCCGACGGTGACATGGAGATCGTGTGAAGTGACGATGAGATCTTATGGGCAATCGTGCAGCCTATCCAAGATGACTGCAGAAAACAGGACGAAATGAAGATGTGCTGTCGAAACTTTATTTCTCACTCAGAACCTAAGGGACTATTCAGAATAATAACCATTACTATTATTAATTACCAAGTAGATTCTGCAACTACTCGGAATTCAAAGTGGTACAGAGAATCCCACAACAATACCATGGATTGCAGCGTTAATTTCCTAATATCACCGAAATGGTAGTGTAAACAACTAGTCAGGCTGTCAACCAATCAGTCAGAATCGAAACTCACAATTTAAGTAATTAGTTCGTTGATTTTAAAGGGAAACCCATAAACTCATCATTGATAAAGGCATAACTGTTACACAAATAATCAGAATTATCAAAGAATTAGAATAATGCATCAGCTAACAGCATGTGCCTGTATCCTGACTTATAAACCAATCACAAAATCCGGTATGATTCAGAGATTTAAGAATGTATTAAAAGTGTGCCCATAGAAAGGCTGATGGCATAATTAGTACATGTTTCTAGGCCAATCAAATACAAAGAACAAAGTTGTTCAAATTCCAGTCCACTCATGATCCTGTTTGTTTGAATGGATTAATAGCATGACTTATACAATCAGCTCTGTGTAAACGTTAGAAAGTCAGTACATCATTCTTCTTCAGTTTTTTCAACTTCAAATGTAGTTAAACAGAAAGCCAGTTCAAAATACCTGCTCATATTATTTGTCAATTTAACATGAAATAAACACCTGAAGAAAGTGATTACCTGTTATGATTCATGCTCAGGTGAATCAGATTTGGCAGGCAACATTCACTCAATGAATCTATTGACGTTAGATTATTATTATCAAGTACGAGTTCCTGTAGCAGATCTCCATGGAATGCAGAATGACACAGCTAATAAGTGAAATGTAGACATGTTTTATCAATACACAGGTAGTTACAACTATGCAAAAAATATCAAAAACCAAAAAACTTATTTATAGTACGGAAACTCTTTGACGTGAAAATAAAACGACTAGGCAGTATACGTGAATTGATGCGTAAAATGTGAAGTGAATAATACCACAAACACAATCTTTGAATTTAAATAAATTCAGAGGTAATTTTTAAAATTATGAATAAGGTAGAAAACATTTGTTTGCTTGACATAATAACACTGAAGTGTATTTTCACTTTAGATTTGACCTAAACATTACCAGCTCCACAATCTTCATAATGTATAGTTGTATCAATCATAATTTGGGAAATATCTATGAATTATAACTACTTTTGAATGAAGAAGTGATACAAGGTGTCGAAACGTAAGTTTCCACAGAGAAGTCCAATACATTATTTCCCAGATACATCGGAAGACAAGTCGCTACAACCGAATTTACAAAGCGAAGCTAAATTCCTTTGATTTACTAGACAGAAGGTTGACAAGTCACTTCTTGCAATAACCACTTAATAGTCATGTTCTGCAAATAAACTAGTTCCAATCTAATTTAGTATTAGATAGACAACGATACGAGCAAACACCAATACACACTTTATGTTCCAGTGTTTCATCTCTCAATGTAAATGATTGGATTGAAAATTTACTATTGGAAGGTAAGATTGAAAGGTACTAGGAGATTAACTGAGTGAGTAGTTGCCTGAGCTTCAAGGAACGCAAACTTTAATACAGTAGTGTCACATTTTCGCTTTCTAATTATCTGAAGTTACTTAAGAGACAAAATTAGTCATTCTATCAATAATATGTATTTAAATGTACAACTCTAAGAGTCATAAAATTGAAATTCTAGTTGATTGCACACTGAAATAATTCACAAAACATCTACTTTTGTTGCCGGACTTGACTGACATATCCGCATTAAAAGAACTAATGAATTCTGCATTGCTGATCATGATATTTTCCATTTGTACTAAACAGCTGCAGGACCGTATCACTCTAGCTAAAATAATGTAATTTACAATCTGTTCAATGAGTTTATTCAATGTGTATAATTTATCGAATTTCCTCATTTCTAAGTAACACAGATTTTTTGTTGATGAGTTCAAAACTCTCCGGAGAAATTCTCAAAAGATTAAAATTACTCGGTGTTCCTGATTATTCAGATATTTTAATCATCCATTCATCAAAATTCTTAATATACATAATTAAGACAGTTAGAATCTTTAATAAGGAATAACTTTCAATAGTTGTACAAAATAATTAGTAGTGGAAACAATGAACTGTTCATCGCTAAACAACATCTATGAAAATACTAACACTAACTGAAATAATTCAAGTGAATGAACCAACAGCTTTTTTGTCTAGGTGAGGTTTCAAGTGGATAAAATTATCAGCGTATGTAATTCCACAAATGTCTAGTAGGTTTGAGTTACTGCAATTCATATAACTACAAATAAAGGTAAAGCAAACTAATGTGCAATGGAACTAAAATAAACGAAAACATATGACAGGAAGAAGGAGAAGAAGAGTAATAAGGGTTTCCAGATTAGGTTCTCTTTAACTAGCTAAAATGTGAGATAAAGACTATGCTAATAGACGGATGTGACAATTTAGAAGACAATGAGAATCAAGAGTCTGCTTCACATAGATATTAAAAATAGTTCATGCGAAAAGTTAGCTATATTGGTTAACACCTCTGAAATGAATTTTTACTGAAAGTTACCTGATTTAAAATATTCGAGGATAAATAAAGTCGAGTGATTCTCGAATATGACATCAACTGGCTATCAGTAGTTACCAGCTGATTATCAGATACATCCAATACGCTGAGATTCCATTCAGTTTCAGTCATATTGGTAGGACTGCACCGCATTTTTGTAATAAGATTACTTGATGCCAATAGTTCATAGAGTTTTGGAAATGAATTAGCTACTGTTTGAAAATCTAGCCAAAATCCATGAAAACAAAGAATGCATTATCAACTACAATGAAAATTACTTCACATATAAGAATACAGACAGACATCTGCTGATACTTTGTGATGGTAATCATTTCGCACCAGTAAATCAACATAATATTTTCAAAAATCGAAAAGTTGATTGATTTTGTATGAACAGCTTTCGCAATTTATTAAAAATGTTTAGAGTACTAAAGTCTATGAGGTATAATTAAGCATATATATATATATATCCTGAAGTACGTTTATTCCCACCATATATGAGCTTGCGAGATATACTTATACACCTCAATGAAGAGAATTAAAACAGAATTGTACCGGTCTGATGTAAAATTGTTTCGTAGAAAATTGCCATTGAAACGAAGAAAATTAATCAAGTGATTCAGCAAAGAGTCTCTTTCCATCGAATTTATCATCATGCTGTACAATCTTATGTATAATATTTTTTAATAACAATATGAATTCTGACGAAATAATAATAATAACAATTGGTTATGTACTTTATAAAATAGTTCACGATGTGTATCGATTTCAAAGGCGTGCAGAAATAATAAGATTAGTAAACAGCTAAAACATTACACAACAAGGTGATAATTATGACAAGACACCCTTGCAAAACTTCGTATGTAATTAAAGGTGACAAGTGAGATAATACACAAAACTGTTCAAAGTGCAATTGATGATAGCACAGTCGACATAATAAATGAAGGATATACAAATTTAATAAGTAGGGCCAGTGTATGAAGAGTAATAGTAGACCAGAAAACACTATTCTCAACAATGCTGCATCGAATGTCTTTCTCGTGGACTGTGAGATCCTTCTTCCAAGGGTGTCGTCAGCTAAGTCACCTTTGAATCCAAAGTTCGTGCACAGCACTTTCTTGGCTACAGACGTTAAATCACATTTCATAGGGTTCAACTGAATATTATTGTCTGTAAAACATGTTGGAAACCCGTTTTCCGTTAGAAAATTTAACTCTTCCTCCTCAGCATCATGACTAAATATGCGCCGAATACAAGTGTTAATTGATCGAATCCGATTTAGTATACGACTAGTAGGTACTCAACTGCAAAAGCTGACCATTCCACGACAGCTTCGTACAAATTACTCTTTTTAGAGTTCCATCAGTCCTCCTTGGAGAAAATGAACTTTCACCTCATTCTCTATTCCGAGGGTGAATTTAATCACTGGATGGTGGCCATTAAATTCATTCAATGTACTGTTCAAATCTTAACCATCATCATAAATAATACAGTTGTCATCTACATGGTTTTTATGCATTTGAAAACTATGGATTGGTGACCTAATTTTCTAGACTGGCCATACAACAGTCTGAAAGGAGGAGAGTCAAAGAAGATCCTAAGGCAAGGTCACCCTTTTGTCTCTAGGCTGTTTCCCTGAAAGTGAATTGTACACCCAATGTACATCTCAAAAGTAGTTCTTTCAAAATTTTGTTCTCAATATACCACATATAAAACATATGCTTTCTGTAAATCGAGCGTTAGTAAATAGAGATTCTATATCCAAAGATAATATGTGTTTATTCGTAGCATTTGTGTCCTGCATACATTCAACAAACTGGATGTTTTCAAGAAGGAAATGGGTAAATGAATGTCCTCTGACGAGTTCACGGATTTCAGGTGAATACTTAGCTATTGAATGGTAAGTGAGTGGTAGGTCAGTTTTGTGTCTTGGTATTAAAGACCGCATTTGAATTAATCCTTTCTTAAAGTTCTTCAGGAATCAGATAATTTTTCTCCATTCTTTGTAAAGCCTCTGGAATTTGCTTTTCGATTAATTCTCCTTTTTCTTCCTCATTCGAAGCTTTCAAGAGTTTGCTGCTGTCGGAAAGTAGATGTGACATTTTATCGACGTTACCTTTACAATCCACAATGACAACACCTGTTCTATGCCCCTGCTTATGTTAATAGTATGTCTTAATTGTGTTTCAGTTGTTTAAGCTATTCTTTGGGGTTCTTTTCTTAGAAGACTACGCATTTGTGGTTAAGTCACTGATTACAAGAATCAATGATGCTCGATTTGAAGCATTGGAAATCTTCGTCAGACTACGGTAAAAGAAGCCTTTGGTTTGGCTGAGTAGATTTTCGACCTGAACGTGGGGATGAAACTAGTTAAAATCGAGATTAACATCGGGAAACTGCGAACCCACACACGAGACTTCCAATTACAATTTAGATAAGGATAATGAATAATGACTGAACACGTATCTCTCAGGATTACCACAAGACTTCCGATAAGAATGGACAGTTTGAGGCTATTAGACAGTTTAGAATTGATAAATAATATCTGCTTGTTGGCGACCACAGTAACGTGCTCATTAAACTTTTGACGCTTATTAATGGATAAGTCTTACACAAAGCTGTAAATATTTGTGAAATATTCCTTAAAAATTCAGGGATACGTGAAAGAACAGAGTCAATATGATATAATGTGTGTCTTTTGAGAGAAATTGTGTTAGGGTATACATGATTGGGTGGAAGCACTTTCCAATACCAGATATTCACGATTTTAATGCATTTATTAAGCAAACAAGTCTACGCATCCACATCATTTGTTCGTCAATAAAAGTTAAACACTCAAGTTACGTGATACTGGAACCATTTACGAACTACTAAATTAACATTCACTTATCTAGGGAGCATTGTCTCAACTGCAGGAGGAACAGACGAGGATGTCAAATCGAGCGAGAATCGGGAAGGCAGGCGAGAAACACATTCATCAACCTCAAACCAATCTGGAAATCTTCATCACTCAACATCAACAACAAAATTCGGATTTTCAATACAAACGTCAAGTCAGTGAGTTCTTCTATACGGATCAGAAACTTGGTGGGTCACAAATAATATTTCCAACAGCCTGTTGCAGACCTTTATCAATAACTGTCTTCTCTCTATACTGAAGATCAGATGGCCGAAAAGAATCACCAACAAGAAACTATGGGAAAAAACAAAACAAGGAGGAATCGCCGACCAACAAATATACAGGAGAAAGTGGAGATGGACTGGACACTCAGTGAGGAGGCCGCCGCTGGGTGACATCGCACACGCGTCAGGCCATTGCCCGAAGGGAATCCGAAAGGGAAGCGGTGAATGGGACGTCGGTGCAAGGGTGATATGGAGGAGGTCGTGTGAAGAGGAGTCGAAACAGTATGGACTAACATGGATGCAGATGAAAAGTACAGGAGAAGACAGAAGTAAGCGGAGACGTGAAGTTGAAGCCCTATGTTCGATTAGTAACCCGAAGGGAACAATAATAATAATAAATTAACAATATTTACTTTTCATAGGAATCAAATAGGTTACGACCTCATTACAAGAAATGTAATGCATCTTAAAACATATTCTGTCATCGAAAAAGTAAAAATCAAACATTAAACTCACTGACTGGAGTTTCGAAATTTCAACGGAAACTTACCAATACTTGTAATGAAATTGAACGATACATCTAGTATTATAAGACTAGGGAAATGTCCTGTAATATCTGAGATTCTTTTAATTTGGTTATTATTCAGTTTCAGAATGGTTAATTTTGTTAGGTTAATCCCAGTGAAGTCAAGAATGCTCAACTTATTTATCTAAAGTACAGAAGAAAAAGATTTATGCGTTGTAAGTGTAGATGTTTTCATTGTAATGAAATTCAGCACACCGTCAAGTATTGTTGTTGCCCAAATTATATTCTTAAGGAAATAGGGAAAATGAATTGCATTTCACAAACATTGGAAGATGGAATTTTTGCTGGGACTTAACACAAGTTCTCGAGCAGCCGAAATCCGCTACACAACAACATATTTATTCAGAATACAAAATACTATCTTCATAATTGAAGAGCAACTATCATAATGGCTAAAGTGGTTGATGAGTATGTTATGACTGTGATATTATACCGCATTTTGAGTTCGTTCTCACTGCTATTTCCCACAAGTATACACGATTGACAACTCAAATATTATTCTCACACTGAGAAAGACACAGAAGACTGACTGAGATGGCAAGGAATTATTGCTCCATAGAAAAGACGGTATAATTAAGAAATTACATCTAAGTATACAGTTACTTTTCATAACCAACCAGTTGACTAGATAGTGTGCATCAATAAAAATTCAGTGACTTAATTCTTGATCTAGAGGGTTAGCATTCAATGTTTTATTTCTAGGTCACGAAAACAGTGACTAATAATATGTCTCCGGGCTTTTATCAAGACAAGATTTCCGTTGCGAAACCATTTGAAGATACTTGGTGGGTTGTCGTACTCTCTGTGATCTTCAACCTTAAGCGTTCTGGGATAGACTAAGACCCAAAATCTCGTTCTATATCTCAGTTATTATAACCGAGTAGATATTTACATATCTACTGACATTAGGTGAAGTGCGGAGGAATATAGTCATTCATAGAATTAGTAAACAACACTTTCAATAGTTCATCTTGAGCTCTCTCTATCTCTCTGTATCTCTGAATTTTTATCTTTTGAACACTCCAGTGTTTTTGAAACACTTTACTTCAAAAATACTTATGAAATAACTTTCAAAAAAACAGTAAAGTAATTGGCTTTAACAATAAAATCTTCTAAATAAAACTAGTTTTATGGACATTCACATCATTGAAGTTGTTATTTTTATTCCAGGATCTTATCATTTCATTTCAGCAATGAAGAGTCACAAACTAGGACGAAACAGCTATCCAGTACTCACAGGTGTCCCAATGGTTCTCTAACTAATGTCCGTTCATGATGACATCTTGAAACCAATGAAATCCCTGCAAACCAACACTTGAATCTTAATTTACTTTTACTTGTGCTAACTTTTCCCATATGAATAAGCTTATCTGCGTCAAATTCATTCCTTCATAATCACACTTTCCTTAGGTGACCTGAAATGTTTTTAGTGAAAACTTTATAATATCCCCACTGAAAATATGACCTAAAAATAACTTTTGTATAATTTTACACGTGTAGGAATCTAGAGTACATCACTTTGTCAATGTACACTGTCAAAAATACGGAGTAAAGATATACATTCGTTGGAGGAGTTCGTCATCAGCTGACAACAGTTAGAGAACTACTGGAAAACCCGCAGCGATTACTGGACAGCTAACTGTGTCGTCCTAGTTTCGAATCCTCACCAATACACACCCACTCGGGTATGAACCTAGGATCTTCTCGTTACAAAGCGAGCTCGTAGACCATTAAGCCACTGTGACCCGATCCAATGGCCAGCCTATGAATTCTAACTTCCTCCGATTCACGACATAGCGCGACCACTTCACAATGTCTTTTTCGATGAGTAACTGTCTGCACCTATACAAAATATTTAGTAGGTCACCTAGTAATGAATCATACTCTTCAAAATTCTCAATTTCAACATTTGGCTATAGTATATTCAATTTACGCTGTTGTACATGCGCTTTATGCTCTCAACGATCAAATCACCCGAAATCGTTGGTAGAAGTATTATTTTTTTTAAAACAGCCAGAGCAATAGTAGAAGCAAAATAATATCAAGTGTATATAAGGATGGTCATTAGGAAGAGAAAGGAATGATTGTTATCAGCTTGAAATCTTTATGCTTGTTATCCCTTCATTCGTATTATTATATATACCGACTATTAAAAACAATCTGCTTACACTGAGATCCAGGACTTCTAAATTTGGTAGATGAGACATTCTGGAAATATCAGATGATTGTAAATTGCATTCACTTATCTTCAGGATTTTCACAAAAGTGAAGTATGTCGAAATTTCAACCAAATTCACTGGTATCTTTACACTGAGTAAAACGAGGCAGGTGACCTAAAAAGATCGACTGATGATGAGCAGAATAAATGAACACTATGCGTGGAAATCATTATTTCAGTTATGAAAAAAACTGTCATCCTAATTAGTTTATACGTTCATTTCATTCACACTGATATTCGTTAAAACAAGAGACTTTTATAAGTATGATGTCAGTACTTCTTAATTCTGTGTAATTTTGTTTCTAAGCCCCTTGTAATCTATATTCACATCTTTGAACTTTCATGTCAAGTTAAAAGCTATTATCACCTTTAGTTGCCTTCGCTACTGTGTGGACTTAAATAAATAATAATTGTATCTATGTAAACTTAGGGATATAGATGCGATTGTACAGCATTTGAGGATGAAATCAGTGAAAAGATATCCATATTGAACTTCGTGTTTTCCTCTCGTTCTAATATCGTGATTGAGCATTTACCACGATTACAGTTAAATACGTTAGATATTATTGTTAATTGTTGGACAAAAATGGACGAAGAATTGGTTGATTAACGGTTAAAATACGTAGATTTTAGGCGAATGATAACAATTGTAATGTCGTGAGTAAATCACGGCTGGATAATGGTTAAAAGGAGGAGGATTTGTTGCCTAAACAACGGTTAAATTGGAAAAGTAGAGGTTATGATTACTATTATTATTACAACAAAACAAGTTCTAATCACAGTTCAGTAGAAGGGATCGATGTTAACAGTCAGTAAACATGTCATCCAGGTCTACCTTAAAGTTGCATTCTTAACATTACGAATGTAAATGAAGTAATTCTATGTATTGAATGACTTAGTCAAGTGCATTATACCGCCACACTTTAAATCATTTGACATGTAGAACTATTCTTACACCAGAAGGTAAGATACGCAAGCCAAGGTATATATAGTTTTATATTCTCTAAGCTATCATTGGGCGTGTGACCTTGGTTTAGATTAAGCCATGTGAAATAGCATGTTCAAATGCATGCATTATTCTGTTTCTAATGCAGTATTGAACTGTTGGAATATGTGAGAATAGTATTCCGTTGGAACACATTGTCTATATCACATCACCACACTATGAGTAAACTGGAATCTCAACACCATATTAGTTTGTTTATTAGATGTATCACACAGTGAAACAGTATTGTTTACTGGATGACGTGTCGAATAAAATTTATTGTTCATAATCATATCAATTGTAATCACAAGTCGTGGAATTATTGACTACCACAGTGCCCAAGTGTTACAAATATATTGATATGACTTATGGTCTTCCTGTACAAAGACTTATCAATAAACTGACTCGACTTTCACAAACTGAAGCAAGATATGAAAATCATCGTATTTTCAAGATTCGATGCTTAAAAAATGAAATCATTCCTAAATATCTACGCCTACGAGCTCCAGTTCCAACGGACAGAGTTAGAAGCAGAATAGAAAGCCTACAAAAATTATTCCTAAAAGAAGAGATCCACAGAATCGTTAAAAAGTTACATGTCAGATGTGAAATTGAGCAATTAAAACAAAAGCTGAAGGGAATAGTTACCAACGTAGATTATGATCTTATAACACAGTCCTCCAGTATTGCAAAATCAGCAACTTTCAAAAAATGTCAAATCAAAAAGTTCAACAAATTATTAGAGGAGAAATTTCCATCTCAGAATGATGAAGTCAGCAATCCAAAGTCAACGGCGATCGATAGATCAAAGTGGGTTGTCGGTCTCTCAACACATATATTAAGTCCTACGGAAATAAGTACATTAGAAAAGAGACTAATTTTCAATGTATCAGTAGACAAGCTGACACCTGAGGATGTCATCCCTAAAACAGAAATAGCACTCAGTGGGATAGACAAAACCGCGGCTGACGAAGTACGGGCACAATGTGCACTTTCATTAAAACGACAAAAATGTGGAAAGCCTAACCTGACAAAACCAGAGATAGAAGCCCTGAAACGCCTTAAGAATAACAAGGATATAGTAATCACAAAGTCAGACAAAGGAAATGCAACAGTAGTATTAGACAAATCAGACTATTTGGAATCTCAATACATTTATTATAATGAATTAGAACAATCGAGTAACATATGATTTATCCTCAATTCTTCCTACCCATAAATTCCTGAATAACCAAATTGTCTCAAACACTGAATCAATTATTTGAATGAAACTAAATGGCATGTTGCTAAACTATTCAAACACACACTAGAAAAATATGTATCCGAAATTACTACACCACTCATAATCCTATGTCCTCTGAATAACTTAGCAACATGCCTCCTAGTTTCAGTTAATAATTCCATACGATAACATAATTCATTTGTGAATAAGTCACATTATTTACGCCAACAACAATAACAGTATCTCATAGACAACATAACACTATAAAACTTCAAGTGAACTGAAACATATTCAATTTACCACATTCAAACCAAGGGATGTATCTGATTTAGAAGAATCATACAGAGGATGAGACGATGAGATTTGATTTATGTAGACAGCTAATTGTTTTTCAATGTATTGTACGAAACTGTTAACTTTGGTTACTGAGCTGCAGTAGTCATTATCCTGGGAGAAATCATTAGACCTTAAGAAAAACAGAAATAAGAATGTATAATTGCCAAGGTGTGGATGACGTAAAACACACAAACACATGTACATATACATATATATATATATATCGGATAGTACAACATTTTGTATCCACATAAAATCACTCACAATAAGTGGAATTTTTAGTATTTTATTCCTTTACATTCCTAGTAGGACATAGGGCTTTAAGATAGAATTCTGAAGGTATTTTCGGTAGCGGTGTTATTTATTTTTATGGGGTGGAGTCGCCAGCCACACTCTCAAACTTCTCTCTTCACAGGTCTTTTTACCGGCATAGCGAGGTTCAGATGTATGTATGTCAGCCGGCTATCGAACTTAAAACTACATGTGGGATTGGCAAGCACTCCATTCCCGTACAACCAACACACTAAAGTGAGTTGAGTTAAAAACAAGAGATTTACATAGGGCTACAAGATAGAACTCTGCAGGATATTGTACCTCTAAATATATATGTGATTGGCGAGCCCTAGATCGAATTATTCCCAACAACTCAAAATGATAAGATATTAAATAAAAGCTAAAAAAATTCCTGGGGAGAAAGTTGATTTATAGTTTGGAAAGTAATGCCTTCAAAAACAACTAGTAAAAGAAATCAAAAGAAATGTATAGCACCACTAGAAAGTCACCGCACAGAGAACCATCCCAAAAAAAATAGTGCAAAGACTAATAACAAAAGAGCAAAACCAGCCAAATCAATGAAACTATCAATAAAAAAGATTAAAAGAAACACCAAAAAAACAGATGCAAGAAACACGCAAAAACACATCATCTCAAAATAACCAGTTGTATAAAAATAACACCCAAAATAAATAAAGTTAAAAGTCAAAATCAAAAATATAATAGAAAGCAAAAAACCACAAGAAAAAAAGCATTGGTTTTTGTAGGGATTGTGTTTGATTGCATGGAGGATATAATCATGAGCTGACATCAGTTAGAGAACCACTGGAAAACCTGGGAGTACTGGACAGCCGTTTCGTGATGAGGAGTACCAAACTAGGACGAAACGGCTGTCCAGTACTCCCAGGTTTTCCAGTGGTTCTCTAACTGATGTCAGCTCATGAAAAAAAAGCAATAAAAAAAAGACGGAGACTGTCTGAAAAATGTGATGTATTAGCGCTATACATTTCGAACAATCTGATCACACATTTACTTGTCAAGTCAATATATATATAGAAAGGTGAAATTAAACAAAGTGAGAGAAAACGGAATTAAGAATAATTAACACAAACGTTTGGTAATCCAATCAAATAAGGATTACCAAGGTAGGTTAAGAGTAATGACAAACTGTTTTTGAATACACAAGGGGGCTTAAGTCTATGAATAGCTATAGCCTCAGCGTATTTCAATAAACACCCTTGACCGTTTTTATAGATGACCTTAAAGGCTGAGTTAACATCAATCTTATGGTTCATCTCGATTAGATGTTTAGCTATAGACGAATTTGGTAGTCTGCCACCTGCATCTATTAGCTTGCCACAATTCATCTGTTTTTCTAACCATTTTGGGATATGCTCTCCCACCCTCACGTGCAAAGCGCGATTACTCCTCCCTATGTATGTATGTCCACACACACACGAAAATTGGTAAATTGTATGGGATGTGATATAATCACTTGTGCACTTTCGGGGTTTACAATGCAGCATATTTTTGGCTTTTTCCACAATTACAAGCTGGGCAGCATAGTAGGTCCTACGGATGATTGAATTCCACCTTTTTCTCACAATCCTACTGTTTATTTCCCCGTTATATGGTAATTTGATATCAAATGCTGCATTGTAAACCCCGAAAGTGCACAAGTGATTATATCACATCCCACACAATTTACCAATTTTCGTGTGTGTGTGGACATACATACATAGGGAGGAGTAATCGCGCTTTGCACGTGAGGGTGGGAGAGCATATCCAAAATGGTTAGAAAAACAGATGAATTGTGGCAAGCTAATAGATGCAGGTGGCAGACTACCAAATTCGTCTATAGCTAAACATCTAATCGAGATGAACCATAAGATTGATGTTAACTCAGCCTTTAAGGTCATCTATAAAAACGGTCAAGGGCGTTTATTGAAATACGCTGAGGCTATAGCTATTCATAGACTTAAGCCCCCCTTGTGTATTCAAAAACAGTTTGTCATTACTCTTAACCTACCTTGGTAATCCTTATTTGATTGGATTACCAAAGGTTTGTGTTAATTATTCTTAATTCCGTTTTCTCTCACCTTGATTAATTTCACCTTTCTATATATATATTGACTTGACAAGTAAATGTGTGATCAGATTGTTCGAAATGTATAGCGCTAATACATCACATTTTTCAAACGGTCTCCCTCTTTTAATAACGCTATCAAAATTTATAAAAAGGACTATTTGATTTAAATAAAAAAAGAATCCAAAAATTATAAAAAAACCTAAAGGAAGGCTGTTGTCCAGTGTACGCCAACACTCCTCGCAAGCAGTGACGAGGCGATAAGAATCTAAAGATTTCTCTGACATATATGTAAAGCCAGAACGGTAAGTTACGCTTTCAACACTACCACGCATGACCATCTTAGTCCACAAATATAGTCCCAACCAACGCCTCCTAGTGTGATGAGTCCTATAGAATATTATAGCCTATCATGTACACGATGCAATTATCCTCTTCTACATGCATAAGAATATCTCCCGAAATCAGCTTCTCAGGTCAATGCAGCATCTTTCACCGAGTGGAAATACCACCGATCAACATGTTATAACAGTCTCATATCAGCTGCCTACACAGTTCAATATTTGCGCACACTTTGATGCAGACAACAGCGAATCATATGGACCGGCAGATATCGGTGCCTCCTTGATCATCAAAACCATGTCTAACCTCTGATAGCCTTCACAGATGAGCACTTTTGTCACAGGCCCGTCCCCCTTAGTAATACAAGGCCGACTGCATTCACCACAAATTACTCGTCTCATTTGACACAATCAACACTGTTGGGGTCAATCATCCACTAGTCAGTTATATAATAAACCTATAACAATGGACAGTAAACACAAGCATCAATTCGCTAAGAAAACAAGTATATTTGTCAAATTCACTGCAAACTAACCCCAGAAACTCAGACAAAATCTAACTAAAACTGTCCGTCACAAACTTGGAAGACACAAATCAAAACACATCAAAACTACAACCATTTATTTTTGAACAGCTTCGTGTCTCTCAAAGCTAAGATGCACATCAAATCGCTCACACTTCAACAATAAATCAGCGTTCATACCTCCCAACTCCACCGTTCGTTCTTTCTAATTCGGGCGACGAAATCCCCAAGGTCGAACAGTCGTCGATCACAGATTTCGCCTTCAAATCACCCATACCACGTGAGTCTGGAGACAACAACTCACAGGCTATATCATTCCCACGGGCCAATTCCAATGTAACAGCACTCGAGGTACCAGGACGAGACGCCTTGTCTTCATCAACACTTTGTCCCGTTGACACTCCAGGATCCGTGACATTCACAGACAATTTAATGTTCGACAATCTTGAACTTCTGTCGAAATAAAAGAAGACCACGTTAATAAGTGCTTCGATGTACTATACGCTAAACTTATCAATCGGTGTGGATTCATCTATATACACGCACTAGTCGCCGAGCAGGAAAATTACTGCCAACCATCCATTACAGTCTCAGAAGAATGTCACATTCAACAGGGAATCGCAGCTACCAGTTTCAAATTACCCGAAAACTCAAGACGAAGCAAATGGGGATCACCTGAGGACAACCACACAAAATATGTATGCATCAATAACACCACACTGAAGGCAACACGAGACATGCGGTTTGTAACCGAACCTCTTTTCTACTTCACTCTTCGAAATTATCTCCACACACTGTAGGCCAATGTTTTATTCTCCTACGTTAGGCATAATTCTTCCAGAAAACATAGTTCAAAACAAAAATATCTCAGTGTTTTCATCAATCCTATGAGATCTATGGTCTAGTATCAATGCACATTCCAAGGTGAAGATAAAAACAAATTCCTTCTCTCAAAACTTTATCTCTTATATGGCTGAAAGCCTAGGTGGACGGTGCAGACAGTCCAAATTGTGCGCTGCATAAAGACGACAAGTCAGTTGTAAGGTGCCGAGAACTATGATGTATGATAAAAGTCGTCTCTCCTTTACATTCCACAGAGAGATATACTACTACTTCCTTCTGCTGACAATCACCTCCTAACTGTTAAGAAATTTAATTCGTAAGCAATCTTTTATGTTCAATACATGGGATTACTACGCTGACTGAAACACATGGTTTAAACCACTAGCCTAACATATTTCAACTACTTGTACGACATCCCTACACCAAAAATGCACTAACAGCATGAACACAGGACAATACTCTGCTGTCCAGCATAGTACTTCCTCTCCAACCATACTCTTCATTTACTGATTGTAAACGACACATCGCTTATAAAACCTCTAATTTTCATAATCTAACAAGCAAATATCACGATAAACGTATACTCCTCTTCATAGAGAAGGATACAAATCTTACTTGGAGCAGCTGACATCACATTATCTATTCTGTTGACAATATATTCCAATGACATTACATAATATCAAACCTAAAGGAAGGCTGTTGTCCAGTGTACGCCAACACTCCTCGCAAGCAGTGACGAGGCGATAAGAATCTAAAGATTTCTCTGACATATATGTAAAGCCAGAACGGTAAGTTACGCTTTCAACACTACCACGCATGACCATCTTAGTCCACAAATATAGTCCCAACCAACGCCTCCTAGTGTGATGAGTCCTATAGAATATTATAGCCTATCATGTACACGATGCAATTATCCTCTTCTACATGCATAAGAATATCTCCCGAAATCAGCTTCTCAGGTCAATGCAGCATCTTTCACCGAGTGGAAATACCACCGATCAACATGTTATAACAGTCTCATATCAGCTGCCTACACAGTTCAATATTTGCGCACACTTTGATGCAGACAACAGCGAATCATATGGACCGGCAGATATCGGTGCCTCCTTGATCATCAAAACCATGTCTAACCTCTGATAGCCTTCACAGATGAGCACTTTTGTCACAGGCCCGTCCCCCTTAGTAATACAAGGCCGACTGCATTCACCACAAATTACTCGTCTCATTTGACACAATCAACACTGTTGGGGTCAATCATCCACTAGTCAGTTATATAATAAACCTATAACAATGGACAGTAAACACAAGCATCAATTCGCTAAGAAAACAAGTATATTTGTCAAATTCACTGCAAACTAACCCCAGAAACTCAGACAAAATCTAACTAAAACTGTCCGTCACAAACTTGGAAGACACAAATCAAAACACATCAAAACTACAACCATTTATTTTTGAACAGCTTCGTGTCTCTCAAAGCTAAGATGCACATCAAATCGCTCACACTTCAACAATAAATCAGCGTTCATACCTCCCAACTCCACCGTTCGTTCTTTCTAATTCGGGCGACGAAATCCCCAAGGTCGAACAGTCGTCGATCACAGATTTCGCCTTCAAATCACCCATACCACGTGAGTCTGGAGACAACAACTCACAGGCTATATCATTCCCACGGGCCAACTCCAATGTAACAGCACTCGAGGTACCAGGACGAGACGCCTTGTCTTCATCAACACTTTGTCCCGTTGACACTCCAGGATCCGTGACATTCACAGACAATTTAATGTTCGACAATCTTGAACTTCTGTCGAAATAAAAGAAGACCACGTTAATAAGTGCTTCGATGTACTATACGCTAAACTTATCAATCGGTGTGGATTCATCTATATACACGCACTAGTCGCCAAGCAGGAAAATTACTGCCAACCATCCATTACAGTCTCAGAAGAATGTCACATTCAACAGGGAATCGCAGCTACCAGTTTCAAATTACCCGAAAACTCAAGACGAAGCAAATGGGGATCACCTGAGGACAACCACACAAAATATGTATGCATCAATAACACCACACTGAAGGCAACACGAGACATGCGGTTTGTAACCGAACCTCTTTTCTACTTCACTCTTCGAAATTATCTCCACACACTGTAGGCCAATGTTTTATTCTCCTACGTTAGGCATAATTCTTCCAGAAAACATAGTTCAAAACAAAAATATCTCAGTGTTTTCATCAATCCTATGAGATCTATGGTCTAGTATCAATGCACATTCCAAGGTGAAGATAAAAACAAATTCCTTCTCTCAAAACTTTATCTCTTATATGGCTGAAAGCCTAGGTGGACGGTGCAGACAGTCCAAATTGTGCGCTGCATAAAGACGACAAGTCAGTTGTAAGGTGCCGAGAACTATGATGTATGATAAAAGTCGTCTCTCCTTTACATTCCACAGAGAGATATACTACTACTTCCTTCTGCTGACAATCACCTCCTAACTGTTAAGAAATTTAATTCGTAAGCAATCTTTTATGTTCAATACATGGGATTACTACGCTGACTGAAACACATGATTTAAACCACTAGCCTAACATATTTCAACTACTTGTACGACATCCCTACACCAAAAATGCACTAACAGCATGAACACAGGACAATACTCTGCTGTCCAGCATAGTACTTCCTCTCCAACCATACTCTTCATTTACTGATTGTAAACGACACATCGCTTATAAAACCTCTAATTTTCATAATCTAACAAGCAAATATCACGATAAACGTATACTCCTCTTCATAGAGAAGGATACAAATCTTACTTGGAGCAGCTGACATCACATTATCTATTCTGTTGACAATATATTCCAATGACATTACATAATATCAAACCTAAAGGAAGGCTGTTGTCCAGTGTACGCCAACACTCCTCGCAAGCAGTGACGAGGCGATAAGAATCTAAAGATTTCTCTGACATATATGTAAAGCCAGAACGGTAAGTTACGCTTTCAACACTACCACGCATGACCATCTTAGTCCACAAATATAGTCCCAACCAACGCCTCCTAGTGTGATGAGTCCTATAGAATATTATAGCCTATCATGTACACGATGCAATTATCCTCTTCTACATGCATAAGAATATCTCCCGAAATCAGCTTCTCAGGTCAATGCAGCATCTTTCACCGAGTGGAAATACCACCGATCAACATGTTATAACAGTCTCATATCAGCTGCCTACACAGTTCAATATTTGCGCACACTTTGATGCAGACAACAGCGAATCATATGGACCGGCAGATATCGGTGCCTCCTTGATCATCAAAACCATGTCTAACCTCTGATAGCCTTCACAGATGAGCACTTTTGTCACAGGCCCGTCCCCCTTAGTAATACAAGGCCGACTGCATTCACCACAAATTACTCGTCTCATTTGACACAATCAACACTGTTGGGGTCAATCATCCACTAGTCAGTTATATAATAAACCTATAACAATGGACAGTAAACACAAGCATCAATTCGCTAAGAAAACAAGTATATTTGTCAAATTCACTGCAAACTAACCCCAGAAACTCAGACAAAATCTAACTAAAACTGTCCGTCACAAACTTGGAAGACACAAATCAAAACACATCAAAACTACAACCATTTATTTTTGAACAGCTTCGTGTCTCTCAAAGCTAAGATGCACATCAAATCGCTCACACTTCAACAATAAATCAGCGTTCATACCTCCCAACTCCACCGTTCGTTCTTTCTAATTCGGGCGACGAAATCCCCAAGGTCGAACAGTCGTCGATCACAGATTTCGCCTTCAAATCACCCATACCACGTGAGTCTGGAGACAACAACTCACAGGCTATATCATTCCCACGGGCCAACTCCAATGTAACAGCACTCGAGGTACCAGGACGAGACGCCTTGTCTTCATCAACACTTTGTCCCGTTGACACTCCAGGATCCGTGACATTCACAGACAATTTAATGTTCGACAATCTTGAACTTCTGTCGAAATAAAAGAAGACCACGTTAATAAGTGCTTCGATGTACTATACGCTAAACTTATCAATCGGTGTGGATTCATCTATATACACGCACTAGTCGCCAAGCAGGAAAATTACTGCCAACCATCCATTACAGTCTCAGAAGAATGTCACATTCAACAGGGAATCGCAGCTACCAGTTTCAAATTACCCGAAAACTCAAGACGAAGCAAATGGGGATCACCTGAGGACAACCACACAAAATATGTATGCATCAATAACACCACACTGAAGGCAACACGAGACATGCGGTTTGTAACCGAACCTCTTTTCTACTTCACTCTTCGAAATTATCTCCACACACTGTAGGCCAATGTTTTATTCTCCTACGTTAGGCATAATTCTTCCAGAAAACATAGTTCAAAACAAAAATATCTCAGTGTTTTCATCAATCCTATGAGATCTATGGTCTAGTATCAATGCACATTCCAAGGTGAAGATAAAAACAAATTCCTTCTCTCAAAACTTTATCTCTTATATGGCTGAAAGCCTAGGTGGACGGTGCAGACAGTCCAAATTGTGCGCTGCATAAAGACGACAAGTCAGTTGTAAGGTGCCGAGAACTATGATGTATGATAAAAGTCGTCTCTCCTTTACATTCCACAGAGAGATATACTACTACTTCCTTCTGCTGACAATCACCTCCTAACTGTTAAGAAATTTAATTCGTAAGCAATCTTTTATGTTCAATACATGGGATTACTACGCTGACTGAAACACATGATTTAAACCACTAGCCTAACATATTTCAACTACTTGTACGACATCCCTACACCAAAAATGCACTAACAGCATGAACACAGGACAATACTCTGCTGTCCAGCATAGTACTTCCTCTCCAACCATACTCTTCATTTACTGATTGTAAACGACACATCGCTTATAAAACCTCTAATTTTCATAATCTAACAAGCAAATATCACGATAAACGTATACTCCTCTTCATAGAGAAGGATACAAATCTTACTTGGAGCAGCTGACATCACATTATCTATTCTGTTGACAATATATTCCAATGACATTACATAATATCAAACCTAAAGGAAGGCTGTTGTCCAGTGTACGCCAACACTCCTCGCAAGCAGTGACGAGGCGATAAGAATCTAAAGATTTCTCTGACATATATGTAAAGCCAGAACGGTAAGTTACGCTTTCAACACTACCACGCATGACCATCTTAGTCCACAAATATAGTCCCAACCAACGCCTCCTAGTGTGATGAGTCCTATAGAATATTATAGCCTATCATGTACACGATGCAATTATCCTCTTCTACATGCATAAGAATATCTCCCGAAATCAGCTTCTCAGGTCAATGCAGCATCTTTCACCGAGTGGAAATACCACCGATCAACATGTTATAACAGTCTCATATCAGCTGCCTACACAGTTCAATATTTGCGCACACTTTGATGCAGACAACAGCGAATCATATGGACCGGCAGATATCGGTGCCTCCTTGATCATCAAAACCATGTCTAACCTCTGATAGCCTTCACAGATGAGCACTTTTGTCACAGGCCCGTCCCCTTAGTAATACAAGGCCGACTGCATTCACCACAAATTACTCGTCTCATTTGACACAATCAACACTGTTGGGGTCAATCATCCACTAGTCAGTTATATAATAAACCTATAACAATGGACAGTAAACACAAGCATCAATTCGCTAAGAAAACAAGTATATTTGTCAAATTCACTGCAAACTAACCCCAGAAACTCAGACAAAATCTAACTAAAACTGTCCGTCACAAACTTGGAAGACACAAATCAAAACACATCAAAACTACAACCATTTATTTTTGAACAGCTTCGTGTCTCTCAAAGCTAAGATGCACATCAAATCGCTCACACTTCAACAATAAATCAGCGTTCATACCTCCCAACTCCACCGTTCGTTCTTTCTAATTCGGGCGACGAAATCCCCAAGGTCGAACAGTCGTCGATCACAGATTTCGCCTTCAAATCACCCATACCACGTGAGTCTGGAGACAACAACTCACAGGCTATATCATTCCCACGGGCCAACTCCAATGTAACAGCACTCGAGGTACCAGGACGAGACGCCTTGTCTTCATCAACACTTTGTCCCGTTGACACTCCAGGATCCGTGACATTCACAGACAATTTAATGTTCGACAATCTTGAACTTCTGTCGAAATAAAAGAAGACCACGTTAATAAGTGCTTCGATGTACTATACGCTAAACTTATCAATCGGTGTGGATTCATCTATATACACGCACTAGTCGCCGAGCAGGAAAATTACTGCCAACCATCCATTACAGTCTCAGAAGAATGTCACATTCAACAGGGAATCGCAGCTACCAGTTTCAAATTACCCGAAAACTCAAGACGAAGCAAATGGGGATCACCTGAGGACAACCACACAAAATATGTATGCATCAATAACACCACACTGAAGGCAACACGAGACATGCGGTTTGTAACCGAACCTCTTTTCTACTTCACTCTTCGAAATTATCTCCACACACTGTAGGCCAATGTTTTATTCTCCTACGTTAGGCATAATTCTTCCAGAAAACATAGTTCAAAACAAAAATATCTCAGTGTTTTCATCAATCCTATGAGATCTATGGTCTAGTATCAATGCACATTCCAAGGTGAAGATAAAAACAAATTCCTTCTCTCAAAACTTTATCTCTTATATGGCTGAAAGCCTAGGTGGACGGTGCAGACAGTCCAAATTGTGCGCTGCATAAAGACGACAAGTCAGTTGTAAGGTGCCGAGAACTATGATGTATGATAAAAGTCGTCTCTCCTTTACATTCCACAGAGAGATATACTACTACTTCCTTCTGCTGACAATCACCTCCTAACTGTTAAGAAATTTAATTCGTAAGCAATCTTTTATGTTCAATACATGGGATTACTACGCTGACTGAAACACATGATTTAAACCACTAGCCTAACATATTTCAACTACTTGTACGACATCCCTACACCAAAAATGCACTAACAGCATGAACACAGGACAATACTCTGCTGTCCAGCATAGTACTTCCTCTCCAACCATACTCTTCATTTACTGATTGTAAACGACACATCGCTTATAAAACCTCTAATTTTCATAATCTAACAAGCAAATATCACGATAAACGTATACTCCTCTTCATAGAGAAGGATACAAATCTTACTTGGAGCAGCTGACATCACATTATCTATTCTGTTGACAATATATTCCAATGACATTACATAATATCAAACCTAAAGGAAGGCTGTTGTCCAGTGTACGCCAACACTCCTCGCAAGCAGTGACGAGGCGATAAGAATCTAAAGATTTCTCTGACATATATGTAAAGCCAGAACGGTAAGTTACGCTTTCAACACTACCACGCATGACCATCTTAGTCCACAAATATAGTCCCAACCAACGCCTCCTAGTGTGATGAGTCCTATAGAATATTATAGCCTATCATGTACACGATGCAATTATCCTCTTCTACATGCATAAGAATATCTCCCGAAATCAGCTTCTCAGGTCAATGCAGCATCTTTCACCGAGTGGAAATACCACCGATCAACATGTTATAACAGTCTCATATCAGCTGCCTACACAGTTCAATATTTGCGCACACTTTGATGCAGACAACAGCGAATCATATGGACCGGCAGATATCGGTGCCTCCTTGATCATCAAAACCATGTCTAACCTCTGATAGCCTTCACAGATGAGCACTTTTGTCACAGGCCCGTCCCCCTTAGTAATACAAGGCCGACTGCATTCACCACAAATTACTCGTCTCATTTGACACAATCAACACTGTTGGGGTCAATCATCCACTAGTCAGTTATATAATAAACCTATAACAATGGACAGTAAACACAAGCATCAATTCGCTAAGAAAACAAGTATATTTGTCAAATTCACTGCAAACTAACCCCAGAAACTCAGACAAAATCTAACTAAAACTGTCCGTCACAAACTTGGAAGACACAAATCAAAACACATCAAAACTACAACCATTTATTTTTGAACAGCTTCGTGTCTCTCAAAGCTAAGATGCACATCAAATCGCTCACACTTCAACAATAAATCAGCGTTCATACCTCCCAACTCCACCGTTCGTTCTTTCTAATTCGGGCGACGAAATCCCCAAGGTCGAACAGTCGTCGATCACAGATTTCGCCTTCAAATCACCCATACCACGTGAGTCTGGAGACAACAACTCACAGGCTATATCATTCCCACGGGCCAACTCCAATGTAACAGCACTCGAGGTACCAGGACGAGACGCCTTGTCTTCATCAACACTTTGTCCCGTTGACACTCCAGGATCCGTGACATTCACAGACAATTTAATGTTCGACAATCTTGAACTTCTGTCGAAATAAAAGAAGACCACGTTAATAAGTGCTTCGATGTACTATACGCTAAACTTATCAATCGGTGTGGATTCATCTATATACACGCACTAGTCGCCGAGCAGGAAAATTACTGCCAACCATCCATTACAGTCTCAGAAGAATGTCACATTCAACAGGGAATCGCAGCTACCAGTTTCAAATTACCCGAAAACTCAAGACGAAGCAAATGGGGATCACCTGAGGACAACCACACAAAATATGTATGCATCAATAACACCACACTGAAGGCAACACGAGACATGCGGTTTGTAACCGAACCTCTTTTCTACTTCACTCTTCGAAATTATCTTCGCACTTCTTATGCTATCGCTTTTTTTGTTATGCAGACTTTGTGAGAAATTAGTAATGTCATTGTTTCATTTTTGGTTTATGGTCTTGGTGTTTCTGCCTTTTCCCCTGGTCTGGCGTTTATTCACAGCTGATATTTTTCGACGTTGTATTCGTTTACATTTTTATTATGTGTACGGGCTATATGTTTTTTATATTTTACTGGGTTTTATTTTTACATTGCTTTCTTCGAATGCGTCGTTGTTTAATTTTTCGTGAGCGTTGATTTTCAGATTTTGGCATTATGTTCGCTGTTATTTGGTTAATTCAATTAATTACTGTTTTGCACCTTCTGAAAAACGGTTTCTATGTTATTTGTATACGTTTCACGAAGTATCTATATATGTTTCTATAAAATGAAGAACGTACCTATATTTTCGCTGAGTTTGCTGCCTAGGTATCTGACTAGGAATTGCTTCACCCATGTTTTGATGATAATTGTCTGAAACTTCCGATGTTGATCGATTATGTGAATCTTGAGTTCCACTTTTATCCGACAGATCAAAATACAATCCAAAATTTCTGTCAATTAAGTTTGTTTTAAAAAATTGGTTTCGATTATTTGTATGTTGTATAGCCGAATGAGGTCTTGTTCCATAGGAAGAAGGAGAATAGGAAGGACTAAATTTTGTTTGCATAATGTCCAGTAGAGACCTACAATTAAAAAAATTATTTAACCATTTTGATGAAACAGAATTTTACTTAAATAAATAAAACATTTGGTTGCGATTGCACGTGTATAAAATATTAAAAAGTCCCACCTTTTTATCAAAGCATATAACTGTAGGCAAAACATGGAAATAAACTTTTTTATTTTATACCAATAAGAACAAAGTTAGTGAATTGAATTTTTGATTTTCCCGTCGATTGATTGGACCGAAGTGCTCGGTCTCAGGTTGACATGTCGGCTTCTTGTGCAGATGCTTCGACGATGTCTGGGCATTTAATTAGTATACAAATGGTGGATGAGGGCTAGCAGTGGAATCCAGGATGCGCATTTCGTCCTATTTGGGACTCGTCATACGCTAAAATGGCATGAAGCTTTCGGTTATATTCAATGATAATCATTCTAATCAATCGACGGGAAAATCAAAAATTAAATTCAATAATAATATGACCCGTTTCACAAGAGGTGGCTCTCGTGGCCCAAGTGGTCTAGTGGATAACGCTTTGGCGTTTGAAACTATGGGCACTGGGTTCGAGCCTCAGTGGGAACACCATCACTCACTGAGAAATGCAGGTACATCCAGCTGACGAGTCCTAAATAGGACGAAATGCGCATCCTGGATTCCACTGCTAGTCACCATCCACCAATTGTATATCAAGAACAAAGTTAATCTAACTGACTATAGGATTTAAAAAAGGCTTTGAATTCGTTAGGACTCAAGTGATCCCTTAACATTCAAAGCTCATCGATAATGATTATCGACATCATATTATGATGGGCGATTCAAAATTGACTGCCCAGCTGGTTTATATATTCCTAAAATCATCCAAGTGCCAAATACCAGCTCAATTGTCTTCATCCTTTCTAGATGACGATGACTTTTAACATTTCAATCAGATTAATCATACTTATTCACTTGAGAGAAACTAACGAAATATATGCGACGTAGATAATAAACAGCATGCTTTTGTGCTCAGTCGTAGAAAGCTCGTCAAACACGGACGTTACCCAGGTTCGGTTTCCGGACGATACACTCCTGAATTTTGCTTACCTTACTAACCACTAGCAAGCCGAAAAAGAGATGAGGCTAGCACCGTCACCTTGTAAAGATAATACCACCATTGCAGAATCTTCATAGCTCGAAGGCCTGTGTTCCACTCAGAACTTAGGGAGTGGAAAAAGATAACAGAATGAAGTAAACATTATATGTGATACATTTACTCACCTATGTTTTGTGGTCGAGAACCACTTGCTTATAATGGTGAAAAGTAATTGAATTCAAAGTAGCATTCATCTGAAGATGACGATTTAATCGGAAAACTGTTAAAAGTCACATATTACTGAATAGCCAAAACATTGAAAAATAAGACTAAACAGCTGTCCGGTGCTTCAGTGATCAGATGGTTAGTGAAATTTCACTTGAAAAACTAATTCACTTCGACTTCTCTTGGCGTATTAACATACCGGTATTTAGATGACAAGTTAAAACGATTCAAGAAATATTTAATTTTGATTCAGAACTTTTTGGATCACTACCAGTGCACCATCCTAAATGAAAGGCATAGATAGATCACAGACCGAATCTCGATTATGCTTGGATTGCATTAATCATGAAAATTCTGTAGACGCTTTGTTTTCCCATAAGCATCATGGTATATTTGAATAAAAGACGATAAGTAATAACTTTTTCGGAGCAAGTTAACCCTCTGAAAATTTCCAGTTAGCCACCTCACACTTAAGACACCAAATCTCTGCAGCATACAGCTAACTTCTCAAACATGTGGTGACTGCCATAAGAGACATCACCGCTCTTTAGTTTCTTCCTATTGATTTAAATTTCACATACATACGGATCAAATCTTCGTAAGGTAGTGTCTGTGAAAATAAAGTCACAAATCATATAAGAAAAAACTAAAATCGTATCCGCCTTCGCCTGTGCACCTGTTACAGACAACCAAAGAACCTGCAGTGTGCTTGATATTTCGTTTACAAACCAATATTATGGCAATAAACAAAACACTCAATCTATTAGTGTCACCTCAACAGTCACTGAAAACAGGTATCACCTAAAAATCTGCTGGAGACAGAATACAATCGAATTAGGTTTAATAAGCGGGATTTTATTCTGGTCAGTTAAAAATCACTAAAGATTTAGATATGCAAGGTATCTAATGGATATTCAAGTTTATTAGTTACGTCTAACCAAATCTCACCTTGTTTTTTACGTTACTTCTTTGTTTTACTCTCATAATTGCAAACACCAGCTTATCTCTATGACTTCTGTAATCTTTGTTTTTCCCCTCACCATATCATGTAAAGGGAACATTATACTCAATAGTTTTAAATATGCTAGGATTTCTATACCGCATTGACAATACTGTGTGTAACAAGCCCACGGCAATTTTCACTTGTATTATTATTATTACCTTAGCTGTTATCAATATTATTATTTCCATTTTATATGCTGCATATTTTTGACCTTACCCCTATTGTAAATGTGGAAAATTTTCTGTGTGATTAATTTTATTTATAATTTGAGGAAATTAGATGCAATATTGTGATTAAAGCTGAAAATTTCATTCTGTATCAAAAGTACTGTTTTGGAATAAAGTAAATTATTATTATTACTCTTCTCACCCTCCATTTTGGAGAATTTTACGTTGGCGAAATTGCTGTGTCCAATTTGAACTCATCACGAGACTGTTTATTTCTCGTGGATTACTGAAAATCATCTCACATCTGGTGTGGAAAACAGTATCGTTTAATCCGAAGTCTAACTCCTTCAAGTTTGTCAAAACGCATCAACTAGGCTACTGCTATGAGCATTAGGGTATTTTAGATGAATTCATTGTGTAATGTAGTTCTTTCACTCTGAATGACGAATATAAACTTAGAGTAAATATATTGAAACCCCTGTCACCTATTTTGATCGCATTAACTCGATGGAATTTTATATCATTGCACATCATCTACAACTTGTAGTCTAGTTCATAAACATGTATCAGGTGATTAATGTGGTATTGCCTAAATTAAGTAATCTTTCAGAAATTTATGTTGAAAATTAATTACAGTCTGAAGCCATCCTGACAGGTACAGAATGAAAGTTTACGACTCATCTTCTACAAAAATTGCTCAAAATTCAACAAAAGCAAATGTAATTTCATATTATGATATAAACAAATAGTATAAACTCACCGCCAACTATAAAGACGATTATTTGCATTAAATATGAGTGAATCCTCTTCAATCTGTTGGATTCGTTTCAAACGTTCTTGTTCACATTTCTTCTCCGCTTCAAGTTCTTCTATACGTAGCTATTTAGGAAAAAAGTCACAAAAAATGTATCGTTGTAGTCAGACAGTTATAAATGACATTGCTGCACATATTTTAGTTCGACTTAAATTCTTTTTGTATTTTAGCCTAATATTATTCGTAGATGAATAATTCCTGATATGCTACTGATGAGGACAAAATCGTAGCAGTGAAATTACTCATCGGCTTCCATTCCGTTTTAATCATTTTAAACCTTCGCTTTCCAAGTGAAACATAAGGCTTCAGACTGAAGCCTTGAAGTTTCGGTACCACTGGGGTTTATTTTACGGGGTGGGTTTGCTGACATCACGCCCAACCTTTCTTCTTCATCCGGCTTACAAACAACTACGGAAGGTAAATGTGTACGCCAGCAGAGAATCGAACTCCGGACCATGTGGATGGCTGGTGACCATCCTACCGGTGAACTACACACGCATTATCAAATGATGTGAGTAGTCACCTCAAATTAATACCACTTTTGTAGTGTAGTACCTCACGAACAAGACAACTTCAACTTAAAAGATAAAAACTTATGAATTAACATCCAGTAGTGAAATCTCATACAGGCATGGAGTTAGATTTCAACTTACATCAAATTATTCACAAAATCCACGTAATACACAAAAGTCAGTGTAATATATCAGACGGTTCTAGGTAGAATGATTATCATTGAATATAACCGAAAGTTTCATGCCATTTTAGTGTATGAATTATGTTTCATGAAAATTAATCGATACAGTAAAGTATGAAGAAACAAAATGCTACTCACATGTCTCGGGTTACTAACATTGCTACAGTGAGATTTATTGGAATTAGCTTTCTGAAGATTTTATGAGTCAACTAGAAAACTAAATTTCAGTAGTGCATAATTTAATATTGAAGCGATAAGCGGTAGTTCAGTGGGTTGGCTTTTCCTGAATTTCAACTACTCGTCATCCAGAAGCTACTATGATAATTTCCCATTGAAGGTAATTTTAACTGACTGTTTATTTGAACACAAGATGAAGAATATGGTAACTCACTAACTCCACTTTTCATAACATTTTAGGTCAATATATACCCTAACTTATTCAGAAGTGAGTCATCTCAGTGTTATTCGTCAGAAAGATTAGTCTTTCAAGCTGGGCTTTTATATCCAGATCATTCACTAAATTCTGTGGCATTTCGACAATGTTATTCAGACTAAAGAGCAGGATCCCTTTAAGCACTTCGTGTAGCATTCGGAATTTTAAGTGGGATAACATGTTTTCCCTACCTCACCTCGACACATACAACACATGACCTATGACCACAATGGAAGCAATACTTCGATGTGGTTTTGTTCTCTGAGCTGGATGGTTAGTTTGCGAAGCTTTCATCACCTTACTGGGTGACATCTTCAGCGCATACTTCAATTTGAAGCAATACTTCATCATACACTTACACACAAACATAATCTGTTAAACTTTGTTAATTAATTCATAAAAATCAGGACTTAAAATAGTTCAGATTGCCACCACATTTTTCCTTCTGGCTTATTTTCAATTTTATCCGTAAGACTGAAAACCCACTAAAGGCTTTGTCTGTCATTACAACGATTTCATAAGTGACGCCAAGTATAATAATAGCATAGTTAAAACAAATAACAGAAATACTGTGACCTCACATTCATATACTCCTCATCAGATTGAAATTCAGTCAACATATTTCCATCCGTTGAAGGATCGGGTTGATCTTCATCCTGCTAAAATAATATTTTTTAATCAAGAATAATTATTTTATAATGCGACGACAATGAAGGAGTTGATCGGCTAATTACAACAGGCCGAGAATGCCTACAACATCTGAGGACAGATTTAGTCAACAACAAACATCGGATAGAGGACGAATAAGTCAACTGAGACACTGAACAGTTACTTGTCTAGGAGAGTTCAACAATGAGCACCAAAAACCATGCAGAGGATTTCATTTGTCTTCTACCGATCAATACAGTACACGAATTTTTAAACCACCGGAAAATAACACATCTAATTGAAACCAATAAAAACGCAAACATCCGCTGTTCACAAGAAGAAATTAAGCTAATAATCTTGGCTGACATACGACTAGGCTTCACAGACTACAATTAATCATCTTAAAACATGATATCGTTTGACAGACTGGTCAATTTCTCAAAGTAGAACTCTGTACAAAAGTGCGCTAGCACAAGATGCTACGATTCCGGAAAGTAAACATAAGATTAAAGAAAAGAAGTTGAATGAAACTAAAGATGAACGGAGATATAAGAGAGTCAGACTATTTAAGTGCCGACTAATGATGATTTTTAGAATCTAGTCGATGACAGGAAATGAATATATCTGCACAACTAAGAATGACTTTCAGTCATTCCAACAAGTCTCCGATGATTTAGCCCTAACATCTCTGTAAGTCTAGTCAGGCAGTCTACTACCCCTTCCACTTAAATTGGTGGCTGAAACCGACAGTCAAAGGCTTCATGCACTGGTGCTACGTTTTCGTCTGACAAACCATAACACACTTCTCCATCATTGTTCAATTTCGAATAAAATTAATTGATGAGGAAGATGGCTTGGCATACGTAGCGTGTGTCCTATTCTTCTCAACCAGTGAAGTTTTACAATTTGGTCTATTAACTTTCCTTCCTTATCTAACACTGTATCTGGGCCTAGTCTCATCATTATTCACCAAATGATACCACTTAACACAGATACCTATGGTCGTTTCATACCATCCAGTTTCAACGATCGTGTCTCATAGCTGCAAAGTAGTATGCAGAAAAGTGCTGCACAGTGAACCATCCTTGATGGCTACTTCTATGTCACATTTGTGCCAGAGATAACGCAAGTTGGTGGATGCCATAGGAGTCTTTTTCATACGGGCTGGAATTTCGACGAATCCCGGTCTCTTACTGTTATACAACATCAAAAATGAGTGAAGGAGGCAACACACTGAACTATTTCACGACCTATCCTCAAGGTAGAATTCGAAGCAGAGCAATTCCGCAATTCTTAACTTTAACACGGAGGAATCACAGGTCCAACACAGTATGATTTTCCGTCAGAGTGTACATAAGACACTATGCTTTGTTAGTATTTGCACCCAGAAGACCTATGACATCTCCGTAGTCTAGGTCAACAAAACTCTACCCTAGCAACAAGTCAATCCCTAAGTCGTGAAAGTTGATCACGGTCACACGTTCAACTTTGATAAAAGTTAAATAAAAATATTGTCAATGGACATCCCTGACGAACACCAGTGGTTATCCTCACTTCAGATAACAAATGCAGTTGAGTCTCTTTTTTCTCTTTGGAAGCTATGGTTAGGTGAGTGAAACCATTCCCACTTAAGTTCGAATTCAAACACTCGGGTGCCATCGATTAGTGTAAGAGCAGAATTAGGTTACTGTGGTTAATTGATTGGTCAGTCAACCATTTCGTGTTCAGGATTTCCTGTCCAATAGTCAATAACTCCATTGGAATTTGAAGTTTACTCACTAATCTTATTTACAGAAGTATGGTGAATTTTGATTTCAGGACAGTATTCTTTATGTTAACTGACTCTTAAAAACAGTTTCTACACGTGGTTGACAAAGTATATTTTATTGAATTATACAAAATGAAAACTGTTCTCAGGTTGAATTCCTTAGAAGCATCATACACTCGATAAATTGTTTAAAACCTTTACCTCCGAGGGGACATGAATTTCACTCCAACGTAAAATTGTTTTCTCACTACACGCTTTTGCATTCTCAATAGCACTAGCATAATACTGCCATTTCTGAAATAAACAAAAAATACGGAAAAAGTATTGGGTGAAAATTGTAAATGGCTTCTAAACATTCTACTGAAATCTCCTACCAACTTTTCACCTTAGATTTTTATCACAAAACATTTCAAAATTGTGAGAAAAACATTACGGGGAAAGAAGAAAGATTTTAAAACAGTTAAACCCTTTAATAAATTTGGAAAGTGTTATTAGCAGGCTATTCGTAAGCCATTGAGTCGGGTCCCAGTGGCTGAATAGTTTACGAGCTTGTCTTGTAACTGGAAGTTCTGGGGTCGTAATTCGAAGTGTGTTTACTGTCGATGAGTTCCAAGCTCTCAACAATGTGGAATCAAGCTCTAATTAAAAAAAGCTAGGGAGAAACAGCGGTCCAGTACCCTCTAGTTTTCAATGGCTCTCTAACTGATTTCAATGCATGGTCAAACTTGAAGTAAATGTATGTGACTAGAGATAGTTTATCCCCAACAATAGTGTAGTAATAATCACCTTACTCGATATGACATTGATTAAAATGTTTAATTCAGCTGAACGAAATAGTTATTAATGAATTTAAAATCTTACTTCTTTAAACGATAAGATAAATGACGATATTTACGCTGTAATTTGTTTTTTAAAAATATCCAGTTAAAGATACTCTATGTCGAAGTAACTAAAAATTACTCACATTACATATAGTATTAGTAATAACAATAAGGATGATAATAATCATAAGTGAAATGATTAATTATTGAATCATTTGGGCAATGACAATAATGACCGCAATATGCTACTGATAGGAGGAAGCAAAATAGCCATTCATTTACTTTTGCAAGAACAGTTAGTAACTTTATACCAGCACACACAAACACACAATATGCGTGTAAAAAATAAGGTGCAGTTGGCTTTTCGTATTTTGCCGGACTAAAGTAAAGTTTTTTGAGATCGCTTCCTGTTCTGCTGGAGTACGTACTCCCTTTCTAAGGAGCATGGGAAAGATTTAGAGTGAGCAATAACAAGTATAAGAGTTAACAAATTGTAGGAGTAGGTGCTAAGTTATGTCGAAGTGTCTTATTTTTATGATGTGGAATGTAAGACGGAATAGTTTTCTAAATATCAGCGAGATGCGAGATGATCAGTAAAGATCAGAAGAAACTCTTAATCCAGGATACTAAGCATTCGAACTAGTTTCCCCTACAGTACCTTCTATGTTTCAAGATTCATAAGAATGAACCAACTTATGTACGTTTTATTGATGTCTGAAGGTGAAATTAGCAGTCTGAAAATCGAAAGGACCATTGGTTAATTTTTCTTAAAAAAGGTATTCATTTAGGAACAATCTCTTTGAAAATTAACACGTACGGAAACAGTCAGGTCATCAGCATACTTAACAGAATTAATCTCACTAGAACGAAATAAGTCATGCAAGAACAAAGAAAGTACAGCACGTTAATGGACACCGGATTCAGTAAACGATGAGGTGGGAGGCTTTCCTTTGCGTACAGTGTACTGTTTTCTGTCGGAAAAATAAGAACTCATCTACTTGGTCACCCATAGCTCACTTTGTGTCACAGTAAGATTACTCAACAAAAGAGTTTAAGTGCGGAGTCACAAGTGGATTTGTAATCAAATGAAGGCACAACAAACGTATTTAGCCCCTGGATCTAAAATGGAAACAACAGTATAATGTAAGATGGTGGTAAAACTCAAAGTAATTTTGTAGGAATTGAAAGCAAACTGTATCGCATGATTTAAAGGCCCTTAAGAGGGATTCAAGCTTACTTAAGAGCAATTTTCCCATTATTTTTGGAAAAGAAGTGATGGCAATATTTTTATATTTTATACGTGATTCAGTAGATAAGTTAAGCACAAGTATAATCTTGAAGTCCTTGCAAGCGGCGGAAAACGTTTAGGAGAAAAGATGGATTACAAGAGGCCAGTATGAAAATGACAAATATCTGCACATTTTCTGAAGACAGTATTGAACCCAAGTCTTTGGGAGAGATTCAAGGACCAGAGGTATTCTAGAACATCATTTATGTTGAAACCAGAAAAGCAATTACCATTTCATTTTGTAACAATATGGAGTGTAACATCTGCTGAGTGACTTGCTAAGAGTACGGACATGGAATATTACTCATATGCTTTCTATAAGTAACTTATTTAAACATTTTCTATATATTTAAAGAGTTTCGGTACTACATTTGGTCTCCGAATTTCAAACGACTAAAAGTTTTAGTCCTTTGATACCACGGTTATTCCTTATCTTATAAAACCATTCCTTCTATCGGATCAACTTTTTGAGTTGAGAAGGAAAATGGTCAAATAGCACAGAAAGTGTCTTTTATGGGTAATACACATCAACACAGAATTTGAAATATGTTGTATTAGTGGTCGTGTCATCCAGCACTTTTTCAGGTTCCAGATTGTTTCTTTTGCCATGCTTCTACGACTTTGCATATTTTCTTGACAATAAGACCTACACTGAATCTTCTTAGGACAGTACAACAAAGTCCCTCTGTATAACTTACCAGGTATTTTGATTAAATCACTAATACCCACTGAGACATAAAAACAAAGAATTTCCCTCACTGAATTCTTTGTTTTTCATGTATTTTGAGCAAAACCCGTAGAACAATGATCACAGCTTTGCAGTGGAGCTCGTTTGTGAGATTCATTTATGCCGAAGTCATTCATGAACACTAGATGTTATGTGATGTCCAGGTGATTAGTAAAGTTGACATTTTCATGAACAAGTGATGTAAGGAATCTGCAGCTACACGAATTCAAATCACCAATCACTAACGACAGGAAGTTACCAAAAGAAGAACCATCAAAATTAGTGAAATCGCCAGTAAGAGTGGATAGATTTAAGAGACTACAGTTAGGTGTTACAGCTGTTCGTAATGCATGTGATTATATTTTGACAAGTGATTGGGACAACATTTAAGAGCATTACAGTCAATATGGCTACTAGAGATTTTAATTCAATTAATCACCGTTAGTAGACCACTGAGAACAAATGAATGCAGTAGCACCACTGTCAAGCTTCTCCTTAGAACTGAGATCTTATTTCATCAACCTGAAACCATCTAGAAGAACTAGATCATCATCATAGACATTATGAAGCCAAGTTTCTTGAAGCGCTGTTACACCCATATTACGATAGATTTTGAAGATATAAGCGATTGAAAATATCTTTGTGTTTCGTCATGTCCATCTAGAAGCGGATTGCTTGAAATATGTGTTATGATCGTGTTATAATAAAATGGTACATTTTAGCTGCTTTTAGTGTATCAGTTAACCGGAGTACTCACTACGTAGTGGTTGCATGGCATTTAAGTCTTTTAACCATATTTGCTTCCAAATCTTATGGAAATGTATTCAAATTAGAGCGATTATGCACAATTTATTATTGAAAACAAATATGAAAAGGCATATCGATCGAATAAACATGCATAAGGTTGATACGAAAACCTTCGTAAAACTAAACACTGACTGATACTCACCGCTTTTTCTAATCTACTGATTTCATCTTCAATTTTTTGGTGCATAAGTCTAGTTTCCGAATCAGTGTTCTTAAGCTGCTTACTGTCTTCTGAACACGATAATAAAACAAAATACATCATGTACATGTAAGATTTCATCACGAGTCAACATAAGTTAGAGAACCACTAAATACCAATGAATGCTGAACATGTTTCGTCCGACATTGCGACTCTTCACAGAACACAACCCACTACGGATGGCTTCCAGGGTCTTCAAGTTACCAGGTGAATACATTACCACTCAGTCACTGGGACGGAAACCCATGGCCCGTTGATTATGTCTTCCACCGATTCACATACACATGTGTTGTTTCATTCATTGGTTAGCATGTTACTGTGAAAATCTTGTTATTACATTTTGTGAGAATGAATGCTGTTTATTTTATAACATTTGATAATATTATATATATATATATATATATATATATATATATATATATATATATATATATATAAATCTGTGCAAAACAGTCGCCGTATAATAACACTACCTCTCACTATACCAGTAACTTGCCTTCAGATCACACCAGAATTATAAGCTACCTCAAGATTGCAGATAAGTATGAAGATGCATGAAGCCTGCGTCCATGTCCCCTAATGAATCAATTATTCTGACATTTGATAAATAAGTCACTGTTTCCCAAGTCTGTGATGTGTTCGACGCTATAGAACACCTGATTGCATTCGTCAGAGAACAGTGCGATTTGGAGGATGCTAATTTTAGACAAACATTCAAGGTAATTTACGCGTATGAAAGGTTCACTCGCGGATGCTTGCAGTGAATTCTGATAACTAGCTATACATTTTTTCATGCATCATACACGAAATTATGGCTAACTAACATTTACCGCGTCTGCTACAATAGATGTCTTCATAGATCGATTCATTGATTTGCTGGGTCCGTCTATCAACGGCCCATTATCTAAAGTTATAATCAAAAATATAACATGATGTTCTGCAGTCAGGAAGCCACAAGTAGCATAGAGAAATCTGGTATTGTACACGTCAACTGACAAATGCCTTCTTGGAATATCATTTGATAAGAGACAAAAGCAATCCACCATTTCAAAATGTATCATCAAACCCAGTTCTTCTAGATTTCAGGTAACAGCTACCAAACAGGGTTACTTTCAGAGGATCTTCATTTGGTTAGTCATGTTTTGGGTGCTAAGTACACTAAAGTAAGTGATGGAAATTGAAAAAAATAAACATCCAAGTGGGAATGTTCTTTAAAAAAGAAAAATAATCTGACCGAAATTACACTGAGACGAACAAATCAGTGACATTTAACAAATGCATTCACGTCTCACTCCCACCTAAATATTGAATGATTTTGTTAAAATGCACTTTTTGCCTTTTGCTTCTTACGCTTTCTGTTTGACTTTCTCAGCAGTGACATCATTGTTTCAATACATCTCTGTTTCATATTGTAGTAATTACAGTTTCTGGCTTTCATTACTGACAGGTTAAATCAATCTTGAGTTAACTATTTACAAACAGACTTTAACAGCTGTATATGGTGTAGGCTGTTAAATAAAGTCTTGCTTTCTAGATAATCACTCTGCGTTCATTACACACTAACCGGTGAATGCAAATTTCAAAATATATAGAGCCCCTCGAGTATACCCGACAAAAAACTAATACTTCCATACTTATATACTACGAAGCGTGCATTTTCAGTAGATCGCCAGAGCAGCTGTGGCGCACGGTAACTAATTTTTTTTTTTGATTACAGCTTGATTCCACACCGTATTTTTGGTACAAGTATGGAATTTTCAGCGTGGATATCGGTAGCCCAAAATTCGCAGGCCAACCATAGATATCAGGTGTGCGTCTGTAAACTCTTTCGAAAGCTGAAAAACCATCCCAACAAGTGTTAAGTGCTGTTTTATCTTTGCCATGGTAAAGAAATTTTGCAAGACAAATACGGATATGAAAAGTGCTATGCAAAGAGACGCGTAGAATTACCTAAAATATTTGACAGTCGTTTAGCTTGTGAGTTCGTTTTTATTTCAAAAGTATTATTATCTGGAACTTTCTCAGTACAATTCAAAAACGTTCTGCCATCCACTTCCATGTCTGATTTTTCACCTTGGTCGCATTCTTTATCAAGCTCCAGTTCATTCATAGTCTGAAATAAATAAAATTCAAAATCAGTCAAATAATTTACAACCTCTTAATGAAAACATAATAGGAATGTTAAGTTGATCAGATTAATTCAACAGTACACCATTTTAACCCAATTACTTGTTATTTTGTAAATACCGTACACAGATACAAGATATATTCTATTCTTAAAACATAAGTGTTACCATGTACGAAATCACTAATCTACGTCAACCAGAACTGGAGAAAAGACAATCGAACTAGAAGACTTAAACTTCTGGTTCATGCACAGTTTCAACAGAATTATTTATTGTGCATTCTAAATTATATTCTCTGCTGTTACTGTCCCAATCTACAAAGATCTCATTCCTCCAGTTAGGTAGCTCTGTTCAACGCTGCATAAATAAAAAATACCCTAGTCTCAATTCACCAAAATACATAACAGGTGAAGGACTCTACAGAAACCTAGACGCCATCAGCAACATAGATATATGCATCTCATTAGTGTTAACAAGCAGAATATCAAGGCCCACGATTTCTTACACTCCGTTTAAAAAACATATTTCAAAACTCTTCCTTTCTTTATAAAGATTTACAATATCATGAAGACAAAATAAAATCTATAACAATCCATCTGACCTGTATGTAGTCATCATAGTTCAGTCCAATTTTCTCTAATGCTTTCAATAATTCTGTGTGGTATAAAAACGATGCAGATTTATTCTCCAAACAAGTCGAAAATCCATGTTGTAGATCTGATTTCGAATTAAATTCATTGAAGGTGTCATTTAACTCCTGCTCCAAATCCCTAATATTTTGAAGAAAACTGTCGAATCCAGAAGACCTGTGTACCTGGAAAAGACAAATCATAATTCATTTTTTTAGTGAAAACCTTCACGATTATAATAATTAGAGTTGAAATGCAACTAAGATTTGAGTTTTGTGTTTCGGTCGAAAAAATACCAAATAAGTCAAATCAAACATTTTCGATTTAGGTTATGCTGTAACTAATATTACTTCTAATTTTCGCCACTTTGTTTCTAATAACGTAATTGTTTCATATTAGCCACAGATCTTTCAGATATTGCTTATGATGGCTGCAACCTGAATTACACGACTTCAGGTGATATGGTTTAAAATAAACGCACAATATTTTCTGATCTATTGCAGTTTTGCACTTTCCTCGTTTGGAATAAAACATGCATCAAACAACTGTGTTTCACGCTTTACCCCGTTATACATAGGCTTACACAGAAAAATCATATAAACTGTAATGACCTGTCCGCGAGAATATAAGACGAATACGAATTGAGCAATTAATACCACCAGTGATAACAATAATAATAATAATAATCGAAAGTCATGAATGATGGAGTAATATGCGACAATCAAAACAGAGACAAATAGGGTGGTTACATATACGAATGTTCAAACTGATATGATGCGGCAAAGCTTAGAAAGCCTATTGACTGGAGTTTGTACAAAAGACAGCATTTCAAGTAGCCAAACCTCATGAAAGCAAATATAAAGGAATAGAAAGGAAATACAATGAAACTAGGACAAAAGAAAACAGTTCAGCGGATATGGTAATAAGAACAAACAGTTCAACCACGCATATCAAGCAACTACAATGAACAGCAATGCACCAGAGACAAAATTAGATGAAGAGTTATGAGAAAGAACACATTTGCATCACTGTGAATTGGTTTCCACCATTTCACTAACAGTCTGCAATCACTGATCCTTAGAACTTCACGGAGTTCAGTTATGTAGGCTAAACTAACCGTCAAAGTCTTTATGCATTTATCAATATGCTTTATTCGTGCATGAATATACTCAAATTGTAAAAGATAGAATGGTTTTCCTTCATTTCAATGAGTTTATCTTCATAAGGTTATTCAAAAGCACCATGAGCACAAGATTTGCGTTCTAACATTCTGACCTTAGGTGCAAAACGATACTGTATTAGCTTGGAAGTAAAAAACTTATCAACTGAGAAGAAACAAAATCTGAGAGAAACGAAGCTTGATAAACCGCGCTATTTGAAAGGTCAGGAAAAAGCCTCCTGTGTGTGACTCTACTTTAGTGATTACAGACTAAATGATCTCCTGAAAATATTAAAATACCATTCCTCGTTATCGCAGCGTAGTTGTTTCTAATGATCAAACGGTAGTGACTAAGTACCACTCTTGGTGTGTCATAAAGAAATATGCCTGATAACCACACAAAAGTTAACTATACGTAAAAAATAATGCTTACCCACCCATCAAATATTTCTGTGCATTTTCATTTACCAAAAGCTAAACTAGGTATCTGCGTAATTTGCCTTTACTCTCAGTGCTTATCCACAAAATAATTCTATAGGTGACTGGCAATGCACAAAACGGAAACTTCAGACTGCCACACGATCATCGAAGCTATGATTAGTGTCGAGTAGATTACGAATTATATCCCAAGGATTGTAAAGTAAAAGGAATTTGATATATGCGGCATTTTATTTATACTCGAAAGCAGAGGAAATATATTTGTATGTGGTAAGCCCTAACAGCAGATTTACGATCAATTAAGGCAAGTGTAACTGACATCGAAGGTGCGAAAACGTTACCTTGTCGGAATTCAGACCTTTCTCATCCATTCTTCTGTGCTGTGAAGTTCTATTTTCCTGAACAAATTAATGAAAAGTCGAAGAGCGGTTTAAAATAAGCAGCAGCGACAACAACCATTTCTCCACTTTCAGCATCGTTGTAATCACTGAGCACTAATGATTTCATGCAAGAACTATACAGCGACAAAACAAGAAATTTAATTTGCACTTGTGAAGAAACAAAACATTCGAGACAGAAAGTAGAATTTACGTATGATCGCAGTAATTATTGTTACTATTTCAAAGCTATCACAGAAATATTATCAGTTTAAACATTTCAGTAGACTTCCTTTATTTTATTGGAAGACGCGACGTTATTAAACAACTTTTAAAGTCACAATAACCCCATTACACTTCTAATAGTTAACATTTCAACTTAAATCTGGGAGAGGAGCTTTCGTAGACAACGTTTATATAACAGGATAAAAGTTTTACAAAATGAAGAATACTGAAAAATCATATATATATATATATATATATATATATATATATATATATATATATATATATATATATATATATTTTATGTGTATTTATTTGCAGCTTAATGAGATTACTGAGTAACAGTCATTCAGCAGTGTTAACCTTGATTAAACTCGCGAAATAAACGTAGCAATTTGTAGAGGACAAGTTAACACGCCTGAAACAACGAAGACATAGTTACAGAGTAATTTTAAGGAGGCTGTTGGGGACATTAATTCGTAATTGACGACGGAACATGAAGTCGAGGTGCTTGACGATCTTTAAAAAGACAAAAATTAAAGATTTCATCTACAAGCTGTTATCTGAAGGCTTACTCCAATCACATAAACGCAGTGCCCTGCAGACTACAATATAAAGCAAACGCCTCCATCAAAGGTTTAATGAATTTAATTTTTACACCTGCTCTCATCCATCGTTATACACCATACGGGAAACCAGAGAATTTTCCTGTAGACAGTTGTTTTTCCTACCAAGTGCTCTTAAGTAACGCGTGAACTTCAAGTAATTATAAGTTTGTCTCACCAACAACATAGCAATGAAAAATTCAGGAACGAGTAATTCCAGCTTCAAAAGATTATTTCCATGACTTTTGAGGTCACACCATGATGAGGACTTTGAGGAGAAGGTACGATTGCATTTAAAGTGTAAAACTTCAGCATTATTTCTTGTAATCACTTCCCTCTTAAAATGACCTGTCTATTATTTTTTCAGCAGCCCATTGAAGAAAGTTCGCCGTCCTGGAAAAGATACTATTTAAATTAGTTAAAAGTTAATGTCCCTTATTTAAAATATCTCCAATCTCTTTCAAGAAATATGTCATTACGGTCATTTTGAATGTTATGAAAACTACTAGTATTAATTTAATAATTTTTTATCAATAACATTATTATGAGTAACACCACTTAAATTGGTAGTGATTTTAACCGTTGTATTCTTGTGATTATCAGATGCTGTTACCAAGTAGTTATTTCAATTTCATCACTTTAAAATACTACAACAGATCTGCTGTACGATGGAGAAGCAAATGTGATAATATTAAGGCAGTGAACAGTCACAAAATACTGTTTCCATCATGAATATTAATGTAGCATATTTTGTGAATATCGTCTATCCGATTTCACCATGATGCAGTACCATCACTTAGGAATTAATGTTGCATTAGTTTTGCATTTGACAACAGAATTTAATCTCCTCACCTTTTTTCAAACGAATCGTCTTCGAGAGGCTATCAGTGTAAGTCACTGTAATATTAAATTCAGCGTTTTGAACGCCACTAACTATGACGTAATTGTTTCGTTAACTTATTTATTACGTTATATATGTCTGAACCAATTTCACTTTTAACTGTTACCATCTATTACTGTTATTTATTAGATTAACATGTTGCATTAAAACCTAAAAACTGGAAAGAACCAAGGGTTCGATGATTAGGCTGCATCAGTTTACTGTGGCATAAACTTATTCATGGTGTAATTAACGCACTTCAGTTTGTCTTATGTTACCGAATACAGAACATTTGGAAACCGGATTTCCAAAGCCACTCATAACTCCAGGAGAAAAAAGTAACCAAACAAGGAGGAAATCTGAGAACAGCAGCACAATGACGACTGAATTCAGTAAGCCGAAGAACTACAACACGGGATTTGTGTCAAAAAACCAATACTGTAAAACTGAGCTTGATGTTGTTTCACCACATTTTAACGCTATATAGGCCATTGGTCTCCATATTACTAAAAATCTGAAACTAATAAGAATAAAAAATTCGGGTGTAACAGCAACCACCCAGTAAGTTTGCGTAAATGTTTCACATATAATCACACTCATTATAGAAAGTCCGCAAAAACAGCTAGAGGGAAAATAGCAGATTTCCAACAGTAAATTCAAAATAAAAGGCAAAGTTTAGTAGAACCAATAAAGTCTATTTGCGAATAAATAACTTTAGCACCAACAGGCCACCTATCGCAGTTAGAGTTTACTATCCCACCTCTGGTCGGTACCCACAGTACAAAAAGTTGCAGTACGCAATGTAGAAGCTAAGTTCTTCAATCTGTCTACTGGCGTCGATTTCACCAGTTGCACTAATAAATTACCAAATACGTGCTTACCAAAGATGGAGTAAAGTCGCTTTAGATGTGATTCTCTCAACACAAATTTCTATTGTGGTACGTAACAATAAAAATGAAGAATGAGTAAATAAAAGTTAAATAAATGTGGGAAATGGGAGAAGGTGCGACTATGCTGATTAAATACCGTTGATTGAAGGGTTGGACAATATGCAAAATAAGCGAATGGATGAGATGGAAAAAACTGTGTCAATCAGCCACTATTCGACTATAATCCCTCAACATTCTTTTGAGAGTAATCTGTTTTTACCCAGTTCCACTAAGTTGATCTGACTAGGCATTAAAAGTTCCCTTAGACTGCTATTCCTTAACTTGGCAAATTCTATTATTGGCTACACTCATCTCCCACCATTATTCAACAATCTTCCCTCATTTTTCAGTTTCTCTTACACTATAATTTAGGGTTTTTCACGATCACTTACACTCCACCTTAATTCCACAGTAAACAATTTGTTATTCTGTCTCCATAACTTTGTGCACACACATCTTCAAATGCCTTAGTATATATATATATATATATGTGCTAATACATATCGTAAGACAATATTTTTATCAGAACACATTTAAACGAACAATATTGTTCTAATTAGATCTCACTAGGCTAAACTCTACATACGTAACTTTACAAGCAGAAATTAAAATATCTGTAAAGTTACGTGCATAAGATTGAGGCTGACGAGATTTGATCGAAAACAATATTGTTCGCTTAAATGTGATATTCTAAATTCTACAGTGGGAATATTTAAAAAATTGTTTGTCATATAGTTCAAGCTTGAATGAGATCTGGCTGGAACACTGTATTTATTTATGAGGACAGTCTTCTGTGAAAGACCAGATAAAGTCATATTTCTCATGTTTGATACATGTATGAAAAAAAAAATCATGACGTGTAATAGAAAAGACTCGAGTCTTTTAGAACGATCGTTCTAATTTTACAACATTTTCAGGTTTTCCTATAAAATTCATATACACAACAAACAACTTATGCTTTTTCAAATGATAGAAAGTTGATACAAGTTTCTGGTGCCGTCTTAAACAGAATGAAACTTTAACGAGTGCCGATATGTGTACTTCTACCCCATCCTGTCTATGTATCAACCTTTGAACGGCAAAAAACGTGACTAAAAGTCGTTACAACATGTCTTTAAGTAATTCGAAATTTTCTGAATGGAAAAGTATGTATTTCAACAATTTGTAAATTGGGGGTGTATTACGGACGGATAAGGACATCATCATTTGCTGTTTATGCTAAAAAAAAGCCGTATTTTAAGCAAGAATATAGGTGCATAAGTGTGTAAAACAACGAAAAATTACCTGATTTTGTGGTTTCTTCAATAAATAAAGCCAGTAGCCATCAGCTGATGAAATGACCTACGGCCAGGCTGCCCTTGTAAACTCTCAGTTAAACTGCCGCTAGGTATGCTGGAAACCAATGAAATTGTAACCTTGCTGTCCAATATACAATAATGCTTTGAATAACTTATGTGAAAGAACTGGTTTCTTGGCGCTATGTTATACACAATCTCAAGAACCCCTATATTTGTGGCATACCATAGGAGCTTTCCCACCAGCTCCCACAGCTCAGCCGAAGTCAGAGAGCAGACGGATGACACGTTTACTTATGTCAGAAGTGGGTATTATTTCGGAAAGACTTAACTGTTGAAAGTCCCAGTCGACCCTTGACTGTCGATAGGACAGAGGGCCTTGATGCTGAGAAACCGTCAGCTTGTCTCTTAGCCGCCGCTTTCGACGTTTGTTGACTTTTCAGCGTGGTTTTCGTTTTTTTAATTTTCTTTGCTATCCTCACATTTTAAGTAATATTTCTAGCATTCCTTTATACTATCACAAATGTCAATAGTTGTTCTATCTGAACTTGTCTTTCTCGCTGTTGGATATTATCTTAGCTATTTCTCCAGTTTCAAGTTAATGTTTACTTTGTTATCACATCGAGTATCTGACTTTCGGTTCCCGTATTACAACTGCGTTTTTTACATAGCGTCAAATAACCTAAGACTCATATGCGTACAGTTCGGCAGCTCTGTATTACCTTTCAACAAGATGACAATTAAGCTATCGAAGAGTCTTGCTTCAATATCGGCTGAAAACTTCAGCATAGACAAATCTAGTAAGACTAAACAGCATGGTATTATACATTTCACTTATCTCTTACAAAAGCTAGATAATCGCAGGTCAGATATTATCACCTCTTCGCCGTCTTGTGTAATAAGTCGTTTTGTTAGAGATATTTACAGAAGTACAGGTTGTAAGACAGATTTTATGGATTATTGAATTGAATTTTTGATTTTCCCGTCGATTGATTGGACCGAAGTGCTCGGTCTCAGGTTGACATGTCGGCTTCTTGTGCAGATGCTTCGACAATGTCTGGGTATTTAATTAGTATACAATTGGTGGATGGTGGCTAGCAGTGGAATCCAGGTACATCCAGCTGACGAGTCCCAAATACGACGAAATGCGCATCCTGGATTCCACTGCTAGCCACCATCCACCAATTGTGTACTAATTAAATACCCAGACATCATCGAAGCATCTGCACAAGAAGCTGACATGTCAACCTAAGACCGAGCGCTTCGGTCCAACAATCGACGGGAAAATCAAAAATTAAATTCAATAATAATATGACCCGTCGCACAAGAGGTGGCTCTCGTGGCCCAAGTGGTCTAGTGGATAACGCTTTGGCGTTTGAAACTATGGGCACTGGGTTCGAGCCTCAGTGGGAACACCATGACTCACTGAGAAATGCAGGTACATCCAGCTGACGAGTCCTAAATAGGACGAAATTAGCATCGTGGATTCCACTGCTAGCCACCATCCACCAATTGTAGATTTTATGGATGCCTATCAAGCCACACTGTATCTTATTAAAATATCCGACATCAGCTTCTTTGATGTGGTTGAATCAGCACTACCTGAATGCCCTGCTCGGAAGTGTCAGTCAGAAGGTTCGAACATACATATAGCCTCATCGTCATCTGCACCTAATGATATCAGTCCTTTTGGTTGTGTCATAAGAAAAGACAACTCCTCTAAATGCTTTGTAACCATAGATATTGACCTAGATAATACTTGCAATATACGGGCAGATTCTCCATTCACTAGTTCATCTAGTTCAATGGGATGCTTTTGGACAGAGTACACATACGCCGATACAGGGAATAGATTGTAGCACCACGGCTACCACTAATCATAAAGCCCCCCACTGTGAAAATTTCCTTCAGTCATCAGCAACACACTGACGTCAACCTAATGCTGAATTTGAAAAAGCAAATAGCTCATCATCTACGCAACCTACATCCACCCAAGCCGATAACCTAGAAAATACAAACATTCTTCCAGAACTCCATGGTTTCTTACCTCTTGGGTATCTAATTAAGCCTACTAATTGCCCAGAATATGATATATTACAGTCATATTTCCATAGAAGTAATAAAGCGTGTTCATTGCATGTACAATGCAATCGTTTTCAGGGTGACAGCAATAAAACATTGAAAAACGCGCTTCTATTGTACCTGCAAAAGATTGGGTAAATCTTCATCTAATACCTCCCGTCCAGTGACGTTCAAATTTAATACCATTGTGGTTGCAAGCCGTCTTGTGAACAGCCAGCACCTTTTAGGAGAGTTGGGAGCTATTGAAATTACGTATTGTTCACGACAGGACACTAATCCAGTCTCGTGCCAGGGAAGTTAGCCCACTGTTATTGAGTGACCGAGTGTACATATGGCTAACAAGATAAAAGGGACGATAACGTAAAGACTGGTATTGCCTAGTAGTTAATTTGCCCCGACCTGAAGAGGCAAATCAGAAGACCTGCATGTACACGAAAGAATTCCTCAGCAAGGGAAATTAACTGTCACACGAAAGTGTGAGAGGAAAAGTACGGAAGTATCAATCAGTTTTATAATACAAGAGTGTATAGAAAATAACTAACATGCATGAACCAATAAGATAGATAGTTTTTCTTACCACAACCTGGATTCTGATTGGTTGCGACGTCATGTGACAAAAGTCATACATTGTTTATTTAGTTAATAGACAGACAGAATATGTTGAGAGTTATAATGGACTCACAATCAGTAGACATATAGCAAAATATATCAGACTGACGAAACAAGACAGATTACATGTGAGTACTGCATGGCCTGTTTTGTCAACACAAGGTCCACCCTTAACCTTAAAAAGGGCCCTGTGCCTAGTTGCCCAAAAATGAAAATTGACACGGTTTAAGATATTAATTCCAGTATTTCTCCATTTGTCATACAACCATGAAAGCACTCACATACTGCAAAAGCTATCGATAAAGATCATAACTTCTATATCAAAAGTTTCAAAAATCCTTGTAGTTCTCCCCCATCTAGCCCTCAGATTCTGAGCAAAGGTGTAAGGAACAAAATTCCTGTGACTGCCATGTCCTCTGTCAAGTTTGATTCGGCGTCCTGTACTTTTCATGCACTTAAATCTCCTAAAAGGTCATTTAAAGTAACAAACATAACCGAGATTGGTCAACCTTCCTCCCTCCTCTATCCCCACCGTTCTAAAGGAGGGAGGGTGGTGCTAGCTGATTAGTAGATATGGTGGCGGTCACTCAGGTGAATCGTCCCATTCTGCAGGAACAGCAATACGCAATTTGAAGGCTCGAGATATTTCTGATTTTTATGAGGGCTTAGATTTTATCTTGAAAAAGATAATAATGAACGCCTTGACAGATCATGCTTCTACCTTTAAATATATACCATTCGCCCAGCCTATTGTTGAGATGCGACCATGTGGGATCTGCACAGATTTATGCGGCATCTTATAAATTAACTTGCTATCCATTGTCAAATCTTTAAATACCACTTCAAAATGTCTTATCTCATTTATTTTCTAATAACGTCTTTACTTGATCCTCATTTTACTCCATTAAAACTAACATTTTACAGCTCTTTATGACTTATTATATTCCTACTCTCTGAAGGGTACGGTTGTGCACTAAATGCACAAAAAGGTATAAAGCAAAAACAACTGGCACAACTGAGGATAAATGTATTAAAACCAAAAGTGGATATCATGATAGTACGAGATATACGTGTAGCATTATACATAGCAAATGAACGTTGTCAGCCTAGGGAGTTTCCTTTATAAATGCATTTATTAATTATACTTGCACTTACCTATTTCATTACAATTTAATGATTGACTTCAGCACTTTAATTTTTCTAAAACAGACTTCAATCCCTTGTAAAAGTTGTACTTACCTCAATATTGGTTGCTTATCATGTGCCTACAACCACGGGATGAAAACGAAACGAAGTCGATTTTCCCGCTCAACCTGGAGGACAACTGTACAATTCAATAACTATACGGCCTAGTTCAGACAATGAGTGTATTATATGTATCAAATATTTAACAGTTGAAATATGATTAACTTGTAGACAATCTGAGATTTGAGACTATATCTTACTTGATCGTGCCTGTAAAAAGGGCGTGCATTTTCATGTAAATTTTTTTTAAATTTGTATGAAATACATTACATTAAAAGAACTAGTTGCAACTACCCAACTTTTACTGTGAGCGGCTTAATACTGACTTTAACCATGCCCATATTCTTGACACACAGCCGCATGGACTCGGACGCCTAAGCTTTCAGCATAGTCCCCCGACAAAAAACAGTCCTTACAACGCACCGGCTAGTCGGTCTACCAACCATTTTTCACTTTTCCGCGTTCAGCAGTGGCTCCACCAATCAACCTAATGTCGAGAAGTGTGTTTCTTTACCCTCGAATTTGTCCTCTTCATGCAATCAGGATACCCGAGTTTCCGCATGCCGATCGACATGCGCTCGTGAACCGAACAGTCAGCCAAGGACATCCTCTTCTTATTCGAAGAACCTTGAGGAAAACGCTGAAGTCTCCAAGCACCGAACATTCCACGTACCAATGAGTCTGTCATCTAGTTCTCATTGAACACACGCTGCCAGCCACGTCTCGTAAACCGTTAATGCCCAGCTCTTGCTGCACTCGGGCTCACGCTGTTCCTTGAAGTTTCTCAGAAACGCTTAGTAATAACGGACGCAAAAACCAAAACACCAATTGGCGACTCGAGAATTCTTTATTGTAACACCAACATATAAACACTGTTACTACTAAGGTCTGCGAACAAATATTACAATAATAAATCACAATATTACTTATGACGGTTTGTTAATGACTTCTTTCTGAACAGCGACCGATGAGACGATGACTGTCGTACTCATGCCTCCGCGAGCATTGGGGAAGTTGGTTTTGAGAAAACAACCGTGAATTGATCGATCAATCGTCAACTACATTGACACTCCCCGGCAAAAAAGGGATCCATCCCTTTTATTAAACACGACCAATACACGTTGAATTGGGTGCCGTTGCGAGAACCTGGGTCACACGGACAG